CAGACGCTCAGAAACGAGGGGAAGGGGCTGTGTTTATGCTCTGTGCTGCTTCTGTATGAGATGTAAGAAGATGAGGCAGACCCTGCTTGCCTGTGGTCACGTTGAAGATCAGGGTTTTCCTGGGAACAAGAGGGGAGCTGCCCTCAGAAGACCTGTCCTGTGAGCTGGGCCTGTCCCTCCAGCAAGAAGCATAAGCCACATGGCCAGCTTGCAATAATCAGCTGACAAGGACCTCAGCTTCAGCACGCACATTACTGGGGTCTCAGATTATATCTACATATGGTTCTTGAACCACCTAACTACTAAATCCCATTAGCAGTACCTTTACATGTGATTTTTGTCTTCCTCACAGCCCAAACATTGTTTTTTTCCATCTGTATTTCAACCATATGGCAGTCCTTGCAAGCTTACATTGTAACTGAACATATAACCCTACTGTTAATACAATAATTAATACATGCTTCCCTAGACACAAATGTTGTACTGAATTTCTGCTCATCGTATACAAACAAGAGTTTTTTCCTAGGATTTGTATGAAAAAAATGACTTTTCATGTCCAGGGAACTAGTTAGTACCTATTTGTGAGTCAGCAGGCATCTCCTCCAAATATTTGGTGAGTAGTAGTCCACATCTCAAAGACACCACTGCAGCCTTAGTAAATACCTGTAAGCGTGAACCTACATTTGTTTTTTACTTGTTTTTCATTAGCTGGAGTAGTTCCCTATACAAAGAATCATGGCTGGGCAAACAACACGCAAAGGTATTTTTGAGCAGTGCTTTGGAAAGGAAAAAAATGCTAGTATTTTGGGGGATGGCTTGTGTATTCATTTTCCACAAACACCTACAGAAATGGAAAAAAATATCATTGAAATTTGTGCAGAAAGTGTGATGCTTTCCACATTTCTGTGCAAGACTGATTCGTGCAAAAGTTTGAATGACCTTCCTGAAAAGGGCTTGCTATAGCCTCTGTGCCTAAGTGACTCTGCCTTAGGAACTGACCTTCAGTTATCCAGAAAAAATATCAGGCGACTTCAGTGAACGATCATTGACTATGATGAGTGAATTACAAACAACAACCAGTCAAGTTACAATGTTAGATTCAGAAATAAAGTAGATATAGGCATACCCGAGTAAAGCTGACAATTTAGCTATCTACAAATGGGTTTGGACCAAAATTGTCTGTTGTTGTACATATGAGTAACATCAAGGATATGAGCAAAGGCATTTCAGCTGTAAGGCTGGCCATGGGTTTAGAAGACAGCAATGAAAAAACTGATGGACATGAAGTTAACAGAAATCACTGGGAACAAGCAATGGCACTGGACTTACTTGACTTTTGCTGCTTCTGGAAGATGCTGCAACTCAGACTGAATATCTAGGATGTCTGGGTAATTCTTTTCAAAGATCATAATTAAGTAGTGCAACAGTGTAATGTTCCTAGAAAGAAAACAAAAAAAAAAAAAAAAAAAAAAAAGAGAGAGAAATGAGAAGGAAGATGGTTCTGAGAAGGAAAAGGATGTTGGGAGGATTGTGACAAATCAGTGAAAAATATTTGGGTAGGAAATATGCTTGAATCAACAAAACAAACAATATATCAGCAGTTAGCAGTTCTGTTATTGAAAGAAAAGTACCACAGACTGAAATGAATTAGCCCTTTATGAACCATCTTTCCTAAAACCTCAAGCAATATATAGTGCCTTGATTTATTCTGGAAGCACTTGCGTGCTTCCATCCATCTGTGGAGATGGTGTAACTGAAAAGAAAATTGTGTAACACAGTATACTATTTGTCCCCAGATACTTCAGAGAATAAACAACAGAACTAAAGTGACGTTAACTCGTAAGGTAGAAGTCAGTTGTTCTCAGAGGCAATGTGGAAAAAACCTAAGAGTTAACTACGAAGAGGAAAAGGTTCTTGAAGATGGAAGAAGTTGCAAAGAAAATTCCTACAGTAATGAAACAGCTATACTTATGAGTAGTGGTCAGGCTCGCTACTATAAAAGCAACGGCAGCTCAAGTAGGAATGGACAGAAATGAGATGTACGAGAGATGCAGGAGAAGGTTTAAGAAAATTTGTAGAGTAAATGATGAATTTTGCATCAGTTTATTTTGCATGTAGAGAGAACAGCCAGCCATAACAGCTACTTGAGGTGGGTTTTATGTGGTTAACTGACAGGCAGGACAGCAGATGGCCACTGCTTCACAGCAACTAGAGCCTGGGAGCTGGGAACTGGTGAGAGAACAGAATCTGCACAGGATATTTAATATATGGAAAATCAAGCCAAGCTATGTTAAGGAAAAAAAAAAGTTCAATGCTAGCTACATGAGCATTAGCCTTGGAATACAGAAAGGACATCGTGGTAGTTGAAACAGAACTCTGTTAGTTCAAAAACTGTAAGGTAGGGATGAATTTCCTATGGCTTCTTACTGCCACATTCATTCTGGCACAGCCTGAAGTCATTTCACAGCGATGGTCTCAGCAGGTCTCGCAAGTCAAGGAAGATGCAAGTTAGTAAAAACCAGCGTAGGAGGTCTCCAAGGAAAACCTTAGTGCTGCTGAAGCCCAAAAGTGGCATCCTCTCCCCAGTCACAGCTGGGTTAATTTCCAGAAGCAGTATGGGGATGTGGGGCAAAACATGGGGTAGCACTATAAAGCCCTGCAGCCCATGTCCATAAACAGTAAGGTCCACCTTCCCAAGACCAGCTATTTTCCTTAACTGCTGTAGATACAACCAGGTTCGGTCTCTCTGAGCTATGCCTCATGGTTCCATTACTGGTGTAGGTAGAGAGCCAGTTTATGACGGTCCTGGATCAGAAACATATGCCGTGTTTCACAGGAGACATAAAACTGTGGTCAGAGTTTTTTTGCGTTTTCTTTTTTGCAAAACCCTGGCCATAAAACTTTGGTATAAAGGGCAAATTTCACAGAAATCCTCCTCCCCCCCCCCCCCAACTTATTTCAGTTATTTGTGAAATACTACATTTTGTCATCTTTGCATAGTGTTGCAGAAACATAATCCAACAACAGATGTGCATTATCCACAGAAACAGCAGAATGAGTGTTGTGTTAATAGCTGGTCTTACTGTTGCAGGATCTTTTAGAGTGAAAAGCACTATTTGAACACCAAATAAGGTATTATTTTAAAGAGCTAAAACCAAAGAAAATCCACTTTCATTGCTATGATAATGGATGCAGCAGCACAGTAACTAACTCATTTACAGCCTTCTAGCCTACCTGTCTATGCTGGATTTGGTGTCTGCAATTTTGTTCAGGCTGGAGACTTTGAAGCCATAAGCACTTCCCCTTTGGCCCTTGTTCATATAATTCCCAAAGGCCAGAACTACCTCCAGGAGTTGCCTCAAACGCTTGCTTCGGATGAGTTCTTTGGATGCCAGAAGGATGGCTTGAAAAGATAAAAAAAAAAAAAGAACAGGTTATTGCACAGTGGCTGATTTTAACATGCTTGGGACCATAATTCATAGTGCCCCAAAATGCCCATCTGACTATTGCCCAGCAAATGCTGCAACACAGTCTGTGTGTGTATTGTTCTTCCTGCACCCATCTGCCCAGAACCAGGACAACTGGAAAGAAGATGCCCTACACCTACCCTGTAGGATGCTCCTCTGAACCCAGGAGCAAGACTGTTCTCCTGGACCTCACACTCTAAAAACGTAGCCAGGGAGAACAGGGGGAAGGCTTGAGCTCATCTGAAAAGGCAGGGCAGAACCCACTGACCTCTTCTCTGCTATAATCACGGATGTGGCACAGAAGCCATACGTGCTCCTTTTTAAGTTACACATTCCCAGAATACCACTGTCCTGAGGCATCTATTCTAACTGCCCCATGGAGAGGGAAGGTGCAAGGACTTGAAGGTGGGAAGGGAAGGCTGACCTGCACAGAAAGGCCATGAAAGCTTTTGGCAGCTCAGCACAGCCTGGTAGCACACTGTCACATCTGTCAGGTCATATTTACAGTGTAACAGTCACGAAAACGACTTTATCAAGCCAATGGGTGCAAGAAGAGTGTCAGAATGAATTTCTTAGCACATGACATACCACGGACTCCCCGGCTCTGCAACCATAGCACGCACCTCCTTTGACGACAAGCCTCTCTTGACCTTCCCTGCCCCTCTATACCCAACTCTTAGCAAAAGTTTTAACCATACCTTCCACTTTTGGTTTTGCTTCTGCCAGCCTCTCTGGAAACTTCTTCTTGAAGAATAATGCCTGCAGCCGCTGCTGATAGTGGTCAATCCTGCACGAAGGGTAGAGGAAAGCCAACACTGAACTGGAACTGTATTTTGGAGCCCAGGGCCAGTATGCTGCCTACATAATCTAATGGTTGGTTGTGGAGTCCCACAAGGCCTATGCATGGGATTATGGACATAGTTTAAACATCTAAGACTACATAATCATCTTGTTATGAAAATGGAGGACCTCAAGGCATGTTTTGATCACAACTGAAAAGGAGCTGGAAGAATTCCCATTACTCTCAAAGTATGAGATGCCAGCTGCATCTTAATTAGCAGAACAAGATGTCAATCCTGATCAGGGATGTAGCAAAGTTGGAACAAGAGAGAAGGCCAGAGGATGAGGAGATGGGATAGCTGAATGGAAAAAGGAATCTATATGAAATCCCGACCCCTGGCTACACTACATCTGATAGTTCGATCTGAATTCCTTTTTGTGTGAACAAGTTTAGGCACAGGAGGCAGATTTCTGCTTGTCATCAGGGGACTGGTCCTTAAATGACAGCACAGACAGTGGTTACCATCAATAAAAAGTTTGTGTAATGAACAGAAACGTTTGTAACAGTTGTGGGCTTCTGGAAAATGCAGGGTATAACGCCGGCCCACAGCATCTCTTGCACATTCCCCCTCAGTGCCAGATGATCCACTTTCAATTACAATTACAGCTGCTTCCAAGAAGCCCTCCGTGCACTTTCCCATAATGTATCACACAGACCTGCTCATTTCAAAGAGGAAACGATCCGCCCGGGCCATGCGCTCAATTTCGTGTTTATGCTCCTCCAACAGGTCGGTATCGCTCTTTTCAGGAACGAACTTCAGCAGCTAGAGAGACAGACATAAACCAAACACCGAGATGAGAGATCCAAGGAAAAGAAGAGAGAAACAACCCCTGATGGAGAGAGAGAGGGCCCTCAGATTTCTCTGCTGCCATGGGGAAGCATTACATCGACTCAGCCATGTGACTGTAACTTCATAAAAGCGCAGCTGTGGCTACAAAACTGACCTTTTTTAAACCTTTGCTTGCTGTTCTGTCTTTATCCCTCACTGACCCCACTAGATTAATTTTTAATTCTATGGGGAATTTCCCATTTCTAAATCCTAAAGGCCAAGTGCTACTGCAACTTACACAAGGGGAAGCACAGAGGGAACTTTGATTCCCACAGCATTACTTGGAGTTTCGGTTGGTGCAAACAAGAACAGGGTATGTCCCACTCAGTGTGAAGTACCCATCGTGCCTATCCTAGAGTACACACAAAGCCTCATCTATCTCTCTCTTGGGTCTGCCCTACCCTGCTGAAACAATAAACAATAACCAAGCGACTGGATATGTGTCTGACACTGGCTGCTATTCATATGCTGACCTTAAAAGCTCATACTCTGACAAATTTTTGACATATCTCATGGTCGTTGTGCTTCAGTATGGTTATAAATATTGCCATGCCCACAGCCTCAGCACACACCCACAAAAACTGCTCGCAAGGCAGATCAAGCACTTTGCTTTTTACCACTTCTTAATACTTTACCCCACTCCCCAAAAACGTGATATTCAAAGGTGTGGAGCATCAGAAGCTTCTAGAGCAGCTGTGGGCATTTAGATAACATGACAAGCAGGCTATAAATTTCCAAAATGGAAAAGCATTTTGTACATGATTAAATACTGCGACTGCACACAAAGAAGGAATCACATTTGTCAGGCAGTTCAGAATTGTAACATCCTAAAGAACTTTATCATACGCATCTTTGGTCAAAGCATCATCTTTCACCCTCTATAAATGGGGGAAATTGGGCAATGGCGGTTTAATTGTTTGTTGGTGTTTTTTTTTTCGCTCGCAAGCTATACAGTGAACCAGCTGCAGGGGACAGAAGTCCCTGACTCCCTTTCTAACCATACTAGTAAGTTAGAACGCAAGATCCCTTCTAGTCCCGGCTCTAACTATTGACCTACATGGCCTGGTTCATGGCATTTCCTAATGGAAAAGCTGCAGGCAGAGAAGAGAGATTAAGAAAAGAAAAAAAGAAAAGAGGAAGAACAACAACAACAAAAATAATCAGCAGCATAAAGAAGAGATGGGAAAAATATGGGAAAGTCACAAGTGAGACGAGAGGACTTGAAAGGAGACTTCATACCAAATGTAATCATGCATATTTTGCATCAAGAAGAGAAAATTGTTATGAAACCGATACAAATAGAGTTACACGAGGGAAGTATATCTAACAACACTGAGAAAAATACTTTTCTCATGCTCCCATGTGCAGCTCCACTGACATGATAGGGCTGAGTTCAGATCTGCAGCTATACCAGCAGAGCCAGTACATACATTCACTCTAGGTGAAAAAAGGCAGCAAGGACTGAAGAGTAAGATATATCTGACTGTAATCTTCCTCACCTGCTCAAGCATGTCTTTCGCAAGGTCCTCTTGTTCATCCATCTTCAAGATTGCTTGTCTGATTTCTTCATTAGACAGCTTCAGCCTTTCAACAGAATCGATATTGTACCATTAGTGCAAAGCTTAAGCGACTGACAATTCAGAAAGTAAGAAGCCTGAAAAGCTGCATAAAAAAGGCACAAAAGAACCATGGGAAGCTTTACTACGAAGCTGCTATTCTAGAGCATTCAGTAAGACGAACGAATCAATTCCAAAGGCAGAAATTTTGTAGATCTTGTATTTTTAATCTTCTTCAGCTAATCAAACATACACCAAAAGTAGTTGGTGATTAAGAACAATCAGGTCCTCATAGATCAAAAGTGCTTCCAGCTTCCCCCATACCCGACACCTTCTTTATCAAGTTCTTTTGCTATAGTAAACCCCCTCAAATCCACGTGACTTGAAAGTGACTGTGAGCCCACATAACCCCCCAGCTTGTGAATATTAAAGCATCTCCCAGAGTAACAAGTAATGGGACTGATCTTTCCTTCACAGATCTGAGAACAGCGTTTCTTGTAAGACGACAGGCTGTGCTGGGTAAGCTCACTCTGTCAGCGGTCACAGCTGAAGAAGGAACTGACAGCAGCTGCATATCCATGTTTCATATCCAATATGAAACAAACTCTGAAAGCAAGAGCTTATTAATATTACCTGAGGTATTAAAATTACACTCTCCTTCCCACCTACTCCTGTCCATCTGTGTGCAATGAGTAGGTGTCACCAGTTTCAAAACAGAATCAATAAAAATACTCTCAAGGTCTCCACCTGAAATCCAGGGCAGGCCAGGAGTCAAAATTTGTGATTATTGAGAGGCTGTTTGATAGACTACATGAAATTAACTTGGTGGTTCTCAGTGCAGATGTCATACACAAGCGACAAATTCTACTCTACCACCCCCAACCCACGACACCCTCATCAGTCATTTCAGGAGAGCAGGGGAGGACCAAATGAACCATAAAGGAAAGGCTATCCACAAGAAAATCTCGATTTTGGGACTGAAACAGGACAAGTGTGAAAAGAAGTATTTGAGGAGTGAAGTCTGCAGTCTCCATGGACCTTCCACAATCAATATAATTAATTAACAGCCGAAAGAGAAAATGCAAATACAAATGAGAGACAGGCTGATGCGTGAGGCAGAATGTTTTTGTCTTCAGTGGTAAGAAATTCCATGTTGAAATTTCACATTGCTATTGCCGTTTGGACAGAATCATATTTTTGGAACTAGGTAAAAGCAAAAGAAAGAGCTTTATTTTTACAGACAGGAAATATTACTAAATCTAAGAAACTTAAAACATTTTAACATTGCCCAATATAACCAACAGCTGGAAACTAAAATATGAATCAGCAGACATTCAGAAGCTTTTAAATATTACACCTCTGAACTAATTGCTCTGACTCTGTTCCGAGGTGCTCATTGTGTCAGCTTTTGACAAGGAAGGCAAACTGATACCAGCTAAGCAAGACAAAGCTACTGAATTTCCAGAAAAGCTACATAATTGGGCCACACTTGGGATGAGATACAAGTATTAGAAGTTTCACAATGAAAAGGCTGGAAACTTTTTACTTTAGGCCATCCGTTTGACTCGGGATCGAAACAACCAACCTCAGCACACGGGGTTCCGCACAAAAGCGCTGCATCGCAATCAGCAAACTGACAGGTTCCTTTTGTCTTTAATAACCACAAACTGTGAAGTCCATGGTTGTGTGACCCTGAACTGCTCAAGCCCTGTGACCACACGAGGGCTGAGAAGCATACTGGTGGGTGTGGGACTGGTTCCTAGCAGACACATACACACAGCCCAGACAATTTGGTGCCTGCCACTCTTCGAGTGCTACATTTTGTTGGATATTTTCCCTTTAGACAGCCCCTTTACATCTTCCAGCATCTGGAGTCCACAGATCAGCTGTGTCTTGGAACACAGGCACACGGTCTGTCAATCAGCCAACCCACCAACACCAGGGTGGGGGATTTTTTGTTGCTACTTTCACTGAGGACAGAAAGAAAGAAGGCAAGTTTCATGGGTTTTTTCCATGCAAGTAACTTGAGCAATTGCTACGCTGACCACCCCAGTGCAAGTACCTCTGTGTGTGTTTGGGGATGCAGTAAACGGAACCAAAGAGACAGGTTTGAGGTACACCAACACAACAGAAGGTGTAGTGCATATTATTCCTGACCTTGCTGTTCTGTCCAGAAGCCTGAGGACTTCAGACTCCAAGCTCCTCTGTTTGCTGCCATTCATCCACACTAAATACACTTGAAAACACTTTCTCTTCAAAAATAATTGAGAGCCCCAAGGACAGACAGTTATACAAACACTTTGATTTCTTGGCTGATTCTGTGCCCTGCCATCAGCTGAAAAACAATTGTCTAGAATGGTTTAGCCCACAGTAGAGAGAAGCAGAAAGCTTGCCAGCCCCCTGCAGAGAAGCAGTTTGACTTAGTCACTTAGAGGCCTGCAACAGGGTCATGGTACCTGCAGGGGTGCTCCTAGATTCTTACCAATCCGGTTAAAAGTATAGAAGGATTTAGAGCAAAACAATCTTACTCTTCCAAAGTGGGCTTGTTCCTCTTCTGGGGCAGGATACGTTTCAAGAACTGTAAGCATCAACAGCACGAAAGAGGGATCTTCGCACTTAAAAACGAGCTGAATAACTGGGCAAAAAATTGTTAATCGAATGATTCTTCCTGTATTTTCAAAACTCGTACCCAGCCATGCAGAGGATCTTGAAGATGGCCAGCAGTAACGCGAAACACATGTGCTGCTTTTAAACAGAAACAGGTGAACTGAATAGAGGGGAACCGAAAGCAGATGCATAAAGCCTTTCCATTTAGAACCGAATAGAGGCATCCCTCAGAGCCTAAAACCCATATGGGACAGACAGCAAATTAAAGTGGAATTACAGCCCAAAATTCTACGCTACAGAAATGAACGTTTCAGTATCTATTGGAAAAGTCTGCAATGACTTTCTTACAAGCTTTGCAGATCCAGACTTTCTTACCAGCTTCCTCCAGCTGCTGGAGACAACTCCATTCGGAACAACATACAATTCAAGCTGTATTCCCTCTGCCTTACACTTCACCAAATCATGGATCCTGGTATCAGAACTCAGGAAGCAAACGTGGCCAGAAGAAAACACAGTGCCCCTTTCCTCAGCTGCAGCACATCCATTCATAGTGCAGATATTGACTGGTTTTGTTCAACAGCAGCCTGACACTGGTCAGAAGAGGAAGGAAAAGGACCTTTACTGAGAATACTCCCGCCTTCTTCCCTCACCCATACATCTGGTGGCAGCATATGGAAATCCAACTGCTTGAGTCATCTTCAAGCAATGTTAAAGCTCAACAAGTACCAAATAACTTCTGATATGGTACTTAGCCTGCCTCCCTCCATCCCCTCCGGCTTCATAAATAATCTCTATTGACTCTGCAGAGTAATTCATCACTAATCTCCCCAGGACACCTCGGCTGATTTAACACCAGCTTCACTTGCAGACATCAAGTGGTTTATTGTTTCGTCCTCTTGGAGAACGCCGGCAGCCTGACTCTGAACATGCCTGGGAGACATGTCGCAGTTTTACATCAACTTCCCTTACAGACAGCCAGTGCTCACTGATTTTTTCCTCCTTAAATATACCCATTGATTTAACTCACAGTCACCTCCCCCCTTCATTCCTCCCCCTGCCATGGATCAAAGCAGAATACTTGTCACTCATTAACTATCTCCCCCTCAGAGGAAAAAGTGAGTTATTTCATGGGCTTGTTCATTGGATCTTGCTTAGCTTTTGAGAAAGAAGCATGCTTGCCTACTACCAGAGAACCCAGAGGTTTTGTTGCAGCTACATTAAGCTCCCTTACCACAGGGATCACAATCCCACTCTTCCTTTTACCCTGGAGAAGGGGACTGATCATCATGTATCAAGGCTATTTTCTACTTCAAACCGAACTGGACCACAGTGCTTCCAAAAGGTGCCAACAGTAGCAGCTGCGACAGCGAGAGGCACTGACTGACACTTAGCTGCATCCTAAGGCCAGTGTGTATAGCTCACCCAAATCTTAGCTTTTACTGACTGCAGAATTTTCCGGCTCCGCAACTCATTTCACACAGGCTACTAGTCAATTCACTCCCAACTGGTCACAAGACCAGGACACAAGCCTTCTCTAACTCCTGAGCTCTCCTAAGGCTCTGAACAACTGCCAAGCTGCAGGCTGTTAAATATCTGTGTTTTGGGAATATTCATTGTTGCTATCCCATAAACACAGGAAAAGGAGATGTTTCCCCTCTCAGAAGAAGCATTCAGGAGTCAGGCTCGTCTAACTGCACGTTCAACTAGAAGACAGAAAGATGCAGTTACTCTTTTCACATCCTTTTATCTCAGCTGCCAACTCATCTCTTCAGCGAAGAAAATAGTGCCTAAACCTTTTGGGGACAACAGCTGGGACATGTTACCAAGTACATCTTACACCATTATATCAACATGGCGGGGAAAAAAACCACCAGTGCCTTTTTAGCACTTCACTGTGAAAGTATTTTGCCAAATGCACAAAGAAACAGGCTTTGCTTTTCTTTTCCTCCTTCAGCAAAAGGTCATGAGTGACCAAGCTACTTTGCACCCAAATACTCTCAGTTTCCTACCAAGAAGGATCTGGGAATGGCTGTCTTTCTAAGCCAAGCAGAGCAAAGGAGGGCCAAACTTGGGAATCCCCAAATCACAATGAGACGAGGCAGTGGTTCATCTTTTTTTCACAATCCTACCTACTGGTTCCTAGTTACGATCTAAGACAGCATGGCACCAACTGACGTTCAGTTTAACCTTGGGGTTTATCATACTCAGAATAGCAGGTAAAGCCATTTATCGTGGACCTTAACTCAAAACCATAAAATCTCTCCAGGAACTCAGGAGGAGCTATTTATTGTTTAGTGTTTTTCATGACAGCACACTGAGGAACTGAACTGCTGAGTCCAATGAGCTGTTTCTGTATCAAGACACGACCTGTACCCCAAAATACCATACTGCTTGTAATCTACCTTGAAATAAGGGTGGACACTGTATTCTCACACGGCAGAAAGGCGCACGAGGACTGGGGGCACGGCAGAGGCAGCACACAAAGACTGTTGGCTGAATAGCTTGGCCTCTTAATGTCTGAATTGAAAGGGTTTAGAAGCACTGAGGAGGCACAGCCATGTGAGAGGAAAACTGGGTCTCTTGAGTATTCTGATTGGAAATGCTGCACAAGTCTGTTTTCTTCTCCTCTATTGATAGATGTTTGAATGGACAATCACAAAAGCCACAAACATTCGTAAAGCTGACCGCTAGTATCTATCTACTGTCATATTCACAGTCAAAAGTATTTTCACGTAGTCAGATTCTGCCTTCTGCTACTACTGGTTTTATGACATTTTGCTAGCACTCCCACTGTTCCCAGCCTCTTGAGAGGGTTACTGCTGACAAGCTGGGCCACAGGAATAACAAACCCATCTCAGAAGAACACTGACACAATCGTTTTGCTGGAATTCATGCAAAATAACTTGCACAAAAAAGTTACGCAAGTATAGGTTCAGCCTTCTTCTGAGCAACATGTCCCGTAGAACTGGACATCTTCAGAGTATTTCACAGAGCAAGGCAGTAAGTGATACATGTCTTAGGAATGTTCTGCAAGGGCCATTTAATGATCTGCAAGAACATTTAACGTTACGGTAGACCAGAAACACTACAGCAGTGAAAATATTACCCACTACTTAAGTAATGGAGGTGGGGAGAAGCCATATTGGTGAGAAGGGTCAGAGAAATTTCCAGCTACTAGGTGAAAGCAGGGAAACACAGGGATCTGGGGTGACTCTTCCAGACCACACAAGTCTGACAGTAAATCTCCAGCCTGGTAGAAACTGAAGACATCAGGAATTTCATGAGGGATAGCCCGTTTCCAGTGTGGCAGAAATAACTGTATGTTGGAAACGCCATTAAGAAAGCCAGATTTGAAGTTGGTGGGCACCTGGATTCACCACAGACAGATAGTTCCATGTCCTGGTTGAATTATGGCCTACTGGAAATACTGTGAGATAAACTGATCTTGTGCCTATGCAAACCTTCACAGCTGGCCTGTGGGACAGAGTTTCATTTTGGATCCATCAGACTCCATTAAACAAGGACAATTACATCCCTCCACTGCAGGAAAATTGGAAGGTCCTGCTTTCAAGTAGCTGAAATAAAGCTTTTTAAAAATAAAAATAGAGATGAGAATGGGGAGGAAGCCTTACGAATCTTTTAACTGTCAGCAAAAATCAACCAGCAATGCAATTTTCATCTCTTTTCAGTCTAGCATGCTCCAGTCTCTCTGTGAAAGAAAGCAAGAGACATCTATTTCTCACTCTTGCTAGGTTTTGGCTTGTTGGACCATATGAAATACGAGCTCTGCCTGACCCCTTCTAACACAGTGTTAGTAAAACAAAAACATTTGAGTAGTGGAGGGAAAGAAAACCCAGCCCATGCAGCTATTTTACTTTAAAGGACATGACAGTTTAGTGTAAACAAAGGGGGAATAAACTACAGGGATATGTGCACAGTAAGAGTCAATTGGAAACAGCTGCTGGTAGATACTGTGGCAACCTGAAAGCTGGGGCTGCAGCTCAGGGTTGCACAAACCCTCTTTGTTCGTCACCAGTTTGAAACCCCTGCTCATTGCACGTGCGTGCACACCCACGTGCACACACGTGCAAGGTGCGCTGCAGGAGCAGCAAGGGCATGGCAGCAGCCAGGGGCGATTTGGCTGGGAGTGTCTCTCCTTCACGGTTTAACCTACAGGAGGAAGAAGTGGGATAATGAAAAAAACTGCAAAGGGGTCGTAAAACCCTTTCAATTATTGTCCGCAGCCAGTCCTCCCGATTGCTGTCTTTAATATTAGAACCATACAAGCACAAAGAGCAGAAAAAGGCATGAATGTAGAAGTGCCATTTTCGTTCCCAAATATTTTTGCTTTTCTAGTCGCACTTAAAAGGGAAGTTTGAGGAGGAATAGTAATCCTGGGCCAAGCTGTAAGATAGTTCTTATATCCTGGGTGTGACAGTATCTGTTACAAACATTAAATAATCTCAGCTGGTGATAGCCCTGGTGACTGGTGTTTCCCATAGTGCAGCATGGCAAAGCTAACAGGGCACAACACAAACTGGCAGGCTCCTTTGGGACAGTGAGCTCAGTCTCTAAATCTCTATCATCCATGTTAGGCCTGCTAACAATAAGACCAGGATATTTCCTAGTGGAGAAGTTGACGGTCACATAACACAGCTTTTCACCTCTGGTTTGAATCCAGACCAGCAGCCTGAGGTGGACTGGCTTCGTGGCACATCTGGAGCGACCACACGCTGTGCACCCTGAAGTGTAAGGTCCATACTTCAATGCCACTTTGCTGGAGGCAGCAGAAGGGAAGACAAACCACAGAGACGGTTCTTTCCTCCCTCACCATTTTGAGAGGTTGTCTCTCAAGTAAGAATGAGACAGACTTGCATGGCAGAAGAGGTTAATGGTGAAAAACACGTACTGCTGCCATCCACACTGCTTTTGTTTTGGAGACAGAAGATTTTTACAAATAAATATCTACTGTCATACCAAGTCACGGACCTTCTTCTGGATCCTCCTCAGCCCAGCCACCTGCACACGTTACGTTACCACTTCTAGGAAATGTCCCACCTGCTTCTATGAGTTAATCTGAACCTCAGACACAATTTAGCAGGTCTGTCAAACAGCACGAAAATCCTGTTGCCCCAACGCCGACCCGTTCCTCTGCCCCAGCCTGCAGTCAGCTGCCAACACCAGCAAAGACATGGGTTGGCAACTGCTGCGGAGAGAGAAACGTAAGCCTCCCCTCATTGCTGGTTTGGATGGTGGGGGTCCCGCTCACATGCGGGCTAATGCCACATAAGTAGCATAATGAGAGCCTCCGTGGGTTTCACTAAGCAATGGAAAGAACTCACACCAGTCCTGGTGGTCTGGCTGCAACTTTACTTTTAACTGTTAGCTTGCTAGTGCAGACAAGCAACCACATCCATATGAACCCGCATTTTCTACTGATCAGGGAAACAGTTTTATTGCTCAGTACCGCCACAGCTTTCCCAGGCTCTGTCTCCAGCCCTGCTGTCCCTCCTTTGGTAGGAAAGGCAACTTTCTCAGGTGGATCAGGTGTTTAAGAGACGGGTAGATGTTGTACTTAGGGACACGGTTTAGTGGTGTTGGTAGAGCTGGGACAACGGTTGGACTTGATCTTGAAGGTCTCTTCCAACCGAAGCTGTTATTCTATGATCAGTGTCTGCACAACTCTGATATTTAGTGACAGACATCCAGCCCAGTACTTACGTTACTAGAAAGACATGAAATGCAAGTAGAGGGTCCTGACGTCACAGCATTTGAAGGCATTAGTCATTGTGGGAGCATGCAAAGGCAACTCCTGGCTTCCAAAACCTGATTTACAAATACAAGACCTAATTCTTGAATATATCTTCTCACATGGACCACCCTGCTCACCAAGAGTCAAAAATGATAAAGAAGAACATCAGTCTCAGCTCTGCTGTATTCCAGGGAGATGCTCAGAGCAACATTTAGGAAGAATCATACAGAATGGAGACAAACGACATACGCAAAGCATGGGGGACACATCTCTTAGAGAGAAGTGCAAGCACTGCCAAAGAGCTGCTTTCATCTGCCTATGAGTACTGACAGTTTTCGGGTGATGAGTCTTCAGATACATCCCAGTGTCTACCTGTTTAATACACATAATGTGTGTGTGCACACGTTTATTAAGTAATCTAGCACTTCAGAGAGACCTGTGCTTTTGTGACACTGCAAGAGAGGTTTCTCTGAAGCTCTGCAGGTATGAGACAGCAGGTCTAGTTGGGAAAAGAAACACGTCCATTTGTTTAATCCCATCCCCTCTTGCCTCTCCATCGACCATGTATATATACCCTGTGAGCTAAGGCTTAGCACACTTACTTGGAAAGCAGAATGACACAATTCTGGGCCCTCCGGCCATCAATCACAGAGAGCTCTTTCACCTTTCGTGTGGAGAGGTAAAGGTCTTCTGTTGAACCCATCTCTTTCTGCATATAATTCAAAAGGGAGGGAGAACAATCAGCATTATGTTTCTCATCCAAGACTGATAGACTTAGCTGAGTGTAATGAGCAAAACCCATCCCAACCTGGGAAAATCCACCCCCATGGTGAGAAAAGTAGAGAAGAAGGGCAGAAAACATGTAGGTAGATCCCGTATTCCTAGACAAACAGAAATCATTCATTACCACCTATGAGATCTTCTTTGATTTCAAACACTGGACCTGATTCTGACCTATCGGACTCCACTAACCATTGTGTTGTTATGTTATTGTGTAAAACTGGCAAGACAGGAAAATTGGGCACATTATGGTAGAGTCCACTGGTGTCACAGCATATCTGCCAGCAGATGCTTTCTGCAGGGGTTACACAGCATTCTTGAAAGGAGTGATCAGGATCAGGAGAAAATCTTTCCATCATCTCTTAAGGCTGCCAGTGGACCAGCCTAATCCACGTTATGTGACAGATGTAAACAGTAGTGCCAGATGTCATTTATCTTACTAAATACATCTTACTAAATGGTCAACATCTACATCTGAACTAGCCTCTCTTTGTTACATTAATTAATACCTTCAATCATACAGCAACCACCCTTTTTCAAAGTTCTCTGTATACCCCCATTGCCAAACTCATCATGCGGAAAAAACCTGGGAAATCCCCATCCAGAATGTTTGTCAGAGTGCACAGAGAGAAAGTATTTGCAAACCCAGTCTGAGATCATCTAGAAATCTCTGTCTCCTTGTCCTGCCTACACACCAGAGTCATGGAAATTGTTTCACTTCCAGAGACTGGCTTTCTGTAGTTACTCTGAGTGTCTTTTAACACCATTCCTTAAAGGCAAGTAGAGGTAATGATAACAGGTGTTAATCCTGAATAATAGCTCTCTAGTTACCAACAGAGAAGAGGGAATTTGAAACAGGACACTTTATTTTCCCAGCTAACTGCTGCTGGAAACTCTTCAAAAATGCCTTTCCATGATATCCATATTGTCATGCCGTGAGATTTTTAGATTTACCAGTATCATCTAGCTTTGAATGCACCCGTCAAATTAGCAACTTGCCTTCATTTCTTAGGACATAACAGCAAGCATGCTAAATCAGATCAAAAGGTCCATCTAGCCCAGTATCCTGTCCTTGAGAGTGGCCAACAGCAGATACCCAGGGAAAGGTGTAAGATTATGGCAAGCACACAGTCGTGCTTTCCAGAATTCACTCCCAGGACTCAAAGTTCTGCAGCTCGAGTCTTACTTATATCAGCATGACTAATCCACTCCAAGAGATTTTGACACCAAAGCGTCGGATAGATTCATATTGCTAGCTGTCACTTGAGTTCTTGCTAAATCAGCTACAATGAGCCTGTGCTGCTCCTGGAGATACAAAGGATTCGTACAACCAAGTCCAACTGTGCTGCAGTGAGCCACACCAATGCTAAGTGGCATTTATAAGCAGGTACAAGCTGAAGACACACATGCAATAGTTCTGCTGGACGGGCCCAAAGTGGCTAGCATGGCAGAAAAAAAATGCAATGTTACTCAATACACCAAATAGTGTTTCTAAAAAAAGGAAAAATTGGGCACTGGGCAAATTTATTATTTCTGAGAGAATAATTAACAATACCAAAAAGCAGGGCACCCCCAGTATAATCTGGCATGTAGAGATGTCAAAGTTTTCCTGAGTTTCCTCAGTTTGTGGGGAGGAAGACAGGGGAACAGGGAGACAGGCAGCTATTGAAGTTGAGAAAGGTACTTGGTCCGTGCTCCTGGATTAAAAACTTCACTGTCCCTCACTAGCTAATGTTTGCAGACAAGGACACTGGGTTAGTGTTAACCAGCACCCATCCCAAGGGAAAAAACAACTTGTTTCAGGGTTTGGCTGGGTATGTGGGGTGGGGGGTTAGATGGCTTCCCCTAAAGCCATGCTGTGGGGATTGGTATAACAGCCTCCATGCCTTTTCCAATTCCCCAGCCCACAGATGAATAACGTGAACTATTCAGATGCACCCCACTCCTTGGTCATAAGGAGCGGGCTAATCTCATCTAAAAATATATTATCCTCAACTCATATTGAGAAGAGAAATATTTATAGATAGTTGGGGTTGTGTGTAAGCAAAAGCAGATGAAGCCTCAGGTTTTACCGAAGCCAGATTGCAAATTTAGCTGAAGGAAAACAGATTGCACACGGACTATCTGCATTTCCTTAGACACAGAAAAAGAGGAGCAAGGGGGCAGTAGTGACTAGCTTTTGTGAGACAGGCCAAGCACACAAAGCAATAGTTGGAGCTGTTGTCAACCTGACAGACGAGATCCCTAAGTTTCATCCCATCATTCTTTACCAACTTTCCATCTGGGGTAACATTATGGTATGCGTTTCAAAGAGTATTTCAGATCTGAGATTTTAATCACAAATTCAAAAATCAACTAAAATTTCAGCGCTGGAATGACTAGACATGTGGAATGTGTTCATCATACTGCTGCCCTGTTTGAAATACAGATTCATTTTGTTTATCTGCAGAACTTGTGGTCTGGTATCACGGCAGCACCCTAAGTTCTAGTAATTATCAATACTTTAGGGAACTATTTCTACCATATTGACTTGTTTTCATGGTGCACGCTGCCATGGTGAAAGCCAGTAAACGGCCCAGAGCCATGTATTAGCCTCACCCAGTGGCAGAAGTCCTAACTAGACTTTCCAAATACAGTTCCCTGACCACTCATGGTGAGGACTGCTTTCTTCTGAAGCCACCAGAGACACTTATGATGACATCTGAACAACCTTCTTCTGAGACCATTGCTCTTCCCAAAAGTGTTGCCAAGAATTTGCTTAAGATGATGAATAAATTGAGAGGTAGCCGGTTCAAAGACATGGGCAATCTGATATCTCTGCTTCATCTAAGCACCATTTCAGTCTTTCAGTGAACTTTCTGAGGGTCTCAGTAGTCTGAAATTAAGTAGGCTTTCCTCCAGTCCAACCCTTCTGTTCCTCATCTGGCAGAAATCCTTCTGCCTGACCAAAGTGCCTCCCAGTTCTACAGAAAGAAAGGTTTTCTTTATCAGAAAGTCTGTGGCTAGTGAATACATCTGGAGACTTCAGTACTGTCCAAAGCAGATGGGCCACAGATGGAAACAGGGGGAGTGAAGGCTCCCTGAGAACTCCACTAGAGAGACTATTACTTTAGTTAAGGAAGAGTTCATATTCCACTTGGTCCTCGATCTTTTTCCTCAGGATCATCAAAAAGGGAACTACAGACAACAGCAGAAACCACAGTGAGGTTATAGCCAAGTGAAAGGACAGAAACTACTTCCTATCGCACAGCTAATACAACTCAAGAAAGTTTTTGTAGCACCTTCCCCACCCAGAAAGCAGAGGTGCAAGGGCATATGAGAGAGTGGCATGAGGTGAGCCATGACCCCGTAACAGCAGAGTGCAGGACTTCACCTTCCCACACGCTGCAAGAGGATCAGGAGGCAGACAATGATACTCACCTGCTTACAGGAGGAGGGGTTAGTTAGCAGGTCCTATGCAGGCAGCAGCCGCAAATAACGAAGAAGGAAACATGCCAAAAATTAGTCACAGAGAAAGATATCAAGTTCAACAAGGCAGCTGAATTTAGACACACACTGTTTTCTAAAAGAATAAAATGCTTAGCAAGTAATACCGGGCCAGATGGTTCAAAGGTATTTCAGCATTCCTTTGCATATTTTAAATCAGCAGATGTCAGGGAACTAAGAGTTCTAGGTCTTTTCTGAAAAGAATAAATTCAGTCTCCAAAGCATAAATCTCTTGGGCCTTGAAACATTAACTAGGATAATGCTTAAATACCTTTACAAATCTAGTCTGGAGCCTTACTGAAAGAACTGCTGAGGTTAAAACTTGAGGGTCAGTTCTCCTCTCCTGATGCACAGGCACAGTTTGCCATGATTAGGAACAACTTGCTTCAACAGCACGTTATACCCTTTAACAACTTACGGCCAAGTATTTTGAAAGCACTCTGTAACCACCAAAGAAGCCTCACAGCACTATTGGGTGACAGACACCAACTATTTAACAACAGATCCCATACTCCAGGAAAACACCAGATATATTGGCCAATATCACACAGCAAGATTGGAGCAAGGTCAGAAGAGCAGTGTAAGAATTGTCGGTCCAGCATTCTGTACACTGGACAATTCTGTTTTCCTCATTGCCACCAAAAATGATACACTGGGCTTGAGAGAGGAGAAGAGACCCTTTGTCATTAAGAAAATGAAGAAGAAAGAAAAGCTGTTTAATGTAAATTAATCTGGAAAAAAAATATGAAGATCATGTTAATAACAGCAAAGAAAGAAACGTCTTTATCTGTACTCATTCAACATTTCAGATACAGAAGAGCAGGGCTTTGCTTTGACATTTTTCTTTACAGACATTTGGATGAAGTTTAAAAGTCACAAACCCAGGGTAAACACATACTTGGCCAGAGTGGAGCATTTCCAAAAATAAAAGAGGAGAAAAGACTAAGTGTGAATCAACTGGAAAAGTTCTCATAAGCTTTTGATTCCAAAGCAATTTTGGTTGCCTGATCTTAAAAAAAAAAAAAAAAAAAAAAAAAAAAGAAAAAAGAAAATTGATGAGGATTTGTTGATTGGAATCCTGTTCACACTGAAGTGAATATGGATGAAAAAAGGAAATACCACGTAAAATAATAACAATGCAGTATTTAAGGGGAAAAAAACCCCAAAACCAAAACCCTCAACAAAAACTGGAAGGGCAGCAATCTACCTAACTACACAAAAATACCAGTAGCTTACAGAAGTGATACTCTAGTGTCTGGAGCCACTGTCATAAAGTGTGTTTAATGAGGATGGAAGAGAACTGTTCTAAGACCCATGGAGGTCGCCCTGAGATGATGGCTCCATTCCAGTGGGCAGGGGTAAGGGTCGGGTTAGTTTACGGTTGAAGAGGCCAGGCTGCTCTTCAGCAATTGGTAACACAGCCGTAAATATTATGATTCCAACTGAGAGCTGGCAGACCAGGACAGCTTTGGCTTTGGATTTTGGGGCCCAAAGGAAGCAAGGCTTTGTGAGTCCATTTCTAGTGAAGAAGCTGCAATATTTGCACCTCAAACACTGGAATGGCACCTTGATGCTGCAGTGGCTACTCATGTGCTCAGGTGACCGTCTGGCCACTTGTAAGACAACTGGGAGCTCACCACCATGGCCAAGCTGTTGGCACAGGGTCTAAATCCAGTCTTGTGACAGCACTGAAGTTTCATGTGCCTTTCTGTCCCTCTATGTTTCAGGGAATGGGATTCACAGAAAGAGAGAGGGAGCCACTGAAACGGCAACAGCTATTTGCAGGAGCAGAATGAGAAATGCAATCTCATGCAACGGGTAACTTTCCATTCTTCACAGTTCAAGTTGGGATGCTTATCTGTGTGGCTGTGAGCTAGTAAATCAGAAGAGTTATTCCTTATGTTTACTGGATTAGATAGAAAAATGAGAGAGAGAAGGGAACAGATGGAAAGTCCAAAGACAAAGGGTTGGTTTGTTAATTTTAAGGTATTGAATAAGTTAATGAAGTAGTGAGGCTTAATCATAAAGGCTGCTTATGGCAATCACGTCTGTGTCTTTTCCTAAAACTTCACAGCAACAATCCAGTTCTGCAGAGTACAAAAGACTGCATTTCTCCAAACATATTCCAAAAGCAAAGGAAAGCTGGGGGAGTTCAGGGAGTGCAAGTAACAATCCCTCTCCTGCTAAATCTTATTCAGCGGAGATAGACAGATTGAAGTGACTTGCTTTCCAAGAAAAAGAGGAGGGAAAAACGACATTCTAATAAATGGCTGCTTTTAAAGAACGCTATTTGTGTTATAATCTGTAATTCAGACAGTTTCTGTCACTTAGCCAGCTGGGTCAGTTGGCTGTTTAAGAAAAAAAAACCCACAAAGCAAGAGACAGCTAATTCAGTCACCTTGCTCAGTACTTGGGCAACTCCAGATTTTTTCTGTGGATGAATATTGGAGATAGATGGATACCAAGCATGAATGTAAAGCTCAGGAACTTTTGGAAGCCAGTGGCTGCTGAGATCAAACAGAGCATTACCTGTTGGGAGCTGTTTCTGAGAGCTGCCGTTAGTATGAAGTATGTGGGTAACAGAAGGTTATACTCTGCCCTGTATGTCCTCCCCACTGCTTTTGGTCTTCTGATTTTTTTGGAACAGTGGCAGAGCAGCAAATGATGCAGCCTGAGTGCAGGTGTTCAAGGGCCCAGATCACGGTCATGCGTTCTTTCCTCCTCCAGAAACTCAGGGAAGACAAGGTGTGGAAGAGTTCACCCCTACCTGGTGTCTCTGATACGCGGAGAACATCTTTTCAAAATCTTCTAGATCCAGCACCTTGAATGCCTTTAAATCATCAATCTCATTCCAGATTGTGCCGTGGATCCGCTCCTGAAAGAAAACGTCATATTTTAATGAGATAGCACAAGCTTTTAGCTAAGAACATCCAATCCCATTTGGACAGATCATTCTCTCCTGCTCACTGGCCATATTCCTATGTACTACTGTTGTCATTTTAGAGGATACACTTTGCTTCAAGAGTCAAATGAGAAAAAAACAGTGGTGTGGTTTTGGTTTTTTTGTCAGGTTGGTTTTTTTTTTTTTTTTAACATACTCATATTTTGTGTTTTCCATCACAGCAAGCCTCTGATGAAAGGGCACATTCCAAGACTAGCAGACCACATCTCAAGGAATATCCATGATCCCACAGTACATTTCCTTTCAAGAGTGGCCATCTGTCTAACACGACGACTGTGGTCACGCTGAAAGAAGTGTTACCATCATGAGGAAAAAGCTTACGAAGGGCACTGATGCATGACAAACCCCAGACACATCTTCCCTTCTGCAGATTTTGCCAGCTTCTGTTGTAAAGCCCAAAGGGTGTGTGGTTTTCATTCTGCCTGCCTGTGAAAGTAGTTTAAGATTTTATTTTATTTTATTTTTAAGGCTCTGAGTCTTTGAAGTCTAATTGCTCCCTATTACACGATCTCCCCTGTCTTCATGAGTTCTTTGTGGACTCGGATAAACACAGACTATACCCAGATCTCTGAAAAAGCATCATCCACACTAACTGGAAGTGTTCACAACCCATGTGATACATTATCCTGAATGCCAGGGAATCCTAACCGCCTGGCAGATGATTAGCAGGGAGGGAGACAGGCATAGACTCCCTCCAACTTTGCTGTCCACCAACCCTGGACCAAATAGGCTCTTCTAGCGCATGAATTAGTTAATCAGCAGACACCCTAAACTAGGAGAAGGCCTTGGGGTCTCCTTCTGACATCATCAGGACAGATGTCCTTGCTGGCAAAGAGGACACAAAGATTGAACCTTCTTCCCACTGGCTGTTAAGGTGCAATGTTGTGCGGGACAAGCTTTGGGCAACTACCCATTCAGAAAACTTGCTCTTTACATCTGACAAGACTGTCTTTTAGTTCACTTAGTTAATGAAGTGTACATTTATTGTACTTTAATAACTGGAAAAATAAGGAAGGTGTTGATTAAAGGAAAAAGGAAATGGACAGAAGGGATTGTAAAAAGACCTAAGCAAACCCCAGGAGGTGAAGAGCCAGCAGAACACTGACGCAGAAAAAGCCAGGAACAGCAAGCAATAGCAAAGAAAGCCTCACACAGGCTCCAAGCTCTGAAGTACCTGATTTGTACCCACACAGCAAAGTGCGTTAACACTTCATTATCAGAACTAATTAGGAACAGGCTCTACTTCCCATTCACAGTCATCAAAGGAATGAGGGAAATGTGCTAAGCCACAAGGCTCAAGGAGCAAGGGAAAAAACTGATGGGAGGATGAAATGAGGGGGAAGTAAAAGTGTGAAGTGTTCTAGAGGAAATTCCTGGCAGGGCAAACACTGAGGAGGAAAACCAACACCCTCGCTCCAGAGGCAGCCTGTGAGTGCTTGAGGGCAAGGAGGGGTGTCTGCAGTGTGGCAGAGCTATTTCAGTGAGAGCGCATAGATGGGAGCAGCACCCATCCCTGAACAAGCTCACCAACATCATCCTACCATTCTTTGGCAATCAGCGTGGCTGTTCTTTCCATAGTAGGAAAAACATCATGACCCTGTGACTGTAACATGACAAATGAGTTTTGGAGACTCATCTCAGCCAAACGAATAGGAGACAAAGTTAATTTTCATTTTATCCTAACTCTGGACTTTACTGCCAATCTTAGCCAGAAGGGTCCAGGCAGAGCGTTCATCCTGATTCAATTTCCAGGCTGGCTTTATAAACCTTGAAATATAAATCCTGAGGGATGTATTTGAAGAGCAGAGCAGTTCTCTGAGTTTCTCACTGTTTCAGATTGTCCCACCAAACACTGAAAGGGAAAAATACTTCTTGACAGGAGCCAGCGGACATGGCTTCAGGAGCAGTCTCTTAGCATCATCATTTGGATAGAGCCCGAAGGATGCCAAAAACCTATACACTCTGTTTGGCAGAAGGCAGGATGTGACTCAAGAGACAGCTACTCGTGAGAGCCTTGCCCATCTACCCGTCTGGATGCAAAACTCTCATGGGAGTGAAGTTTCCCCACAAATGGCAAGAACAGTGAAAATGTGCTACAGAACGGGCTAGCCCCAATGAACTGCAGAGGTGGCAGAACGGGCAGTCCTGAGACTCACAAAGGGATTGCAGGGAGTAGTTCTCCTCCACACTTTCCCAGAAAAACAACCCAAGGAAGTGAAAATTATTCTCGTTTCAATCCGGATTCATTTTAAGACCCAGGTTGAGTCTCGCCCTATACAGGATGGTTTATATGGTACTTGTAGCAGAAAGACAAATTCCAAAGCAGCACCCATTGCAACGGTGTGCACAAACAGAACTTTGACCCAAGCAACCTAATTTTGGTGCTGAAAAACCAAATGGGCTAACCCAGTCAAAGAAAAAAGAACGCAGGTAGAGGTATAAACAACCTTTGTCACACAGAACACTTGCAATGGGGCTGGCCCTTCTATTTCTACCATAAGCTCTGCCCTTGAAAACTTTCATGCTGCTGCCAAATAATTTCCTACACTGAGCTCTTGCTACTCAGTTATGGATTAACTGGCTGATAGTTCCTTGTCATCAGCCAGAGAGACTGAGTGTTTAGAAGGCAGGCAGAGGTATAAACAACCTTTGTCACACAGAACACTTGCAATGGGGCTGGCCCTTCTATTTCTACCATAAGCTCTGCCCTTGAAAACTTTCATGCTGCTGCCAAATAATTTCCTACACTGAGCTCTTGCTACTCAGTTATGGATTAACTGGCTGATAGTTCCTTGTCATCAGCCAGAGAGACTGAGTGTTTTAAGAGAAACAGACTTGCATAATGTGGTTGCTACGATAAATGATTCCCTCAGCACCATAAAAAATATTTATGGTCCCTAAATAACAATTTAAAAATAAATACTTTATTTTGTCTTTCCTTTTTTCTCTCTCCTCAAAAAAAAAAAGGAAAAAAAAAAAAAAAGAGAGGTCACTTCATCTGTAACATGCTTTTCTCCCCATATTTATTTATTTATTATTTCTTCATTCACTCATTTGTTCATTCTACAAGCCTTCCAAGATCTGTGGTTCCTTTGCTTTGCAAAGCCTTGGCCCGCTTTGAGAAGCAAATCCTATGAACTACACTTCCCAGCACCCTCTAGCAAAATAGTAGTACCTACTAGGTAAGGAAATACCTTATTTTTGGAACAAATATTGGCAAGGCATTTGCTCCATCAAATGGAGTTTTTGATATGTTGCATTTAACAATCTGCTCGCTGTAGCTGCTGCAGGTACGTCGTCCCACCTTTGTAATGAAGGGCGATTTCCTGACAGACCTACCAAGATGAGAGAATGACAGTGTTTCACGGAGCTACAAATCATATCAAGCTGTCCTGTTACATCGAACAGATTATTTTATTTACCCTGAAAGACAAATAGCGATACTCTGCAAGCCACCAAAGTCCATCCTGCCTCAGTAACCTCCCAGCATGAGTGAAAACTTACAGCACGTTGGGAAAGCCTTTCATTTGTCCTGCAGGTCCAGAGAAACCATAGAAACTGTGAGTGTCCTGTGAATACTGGAGGAGGCAATCCCGCTGATTAGTAGACTAATATTTGTAAAATATTAACCATTAAAAAGTGAAGAAACAAAAATTTTAATCCATAATTCCATTATGAACCTGCAAAAGGGATATGAACAGAGTGCATTTGTCAAATTTATCTCGATATCAGATCCTTTCCTCAGTGTAAGAAAAATCCACTTTGAGCAAAAATTGTATTTCTGGCATGTCTGTTAATTGAGACAGCTGTTTTATCTCAGTGTAGGACTAGGCACCACCAAGGCTGTTATGAATAGCTTCACACCGAGATTTTGTAGAAATCTTCCCATTAATTTTGAATCTCTGGCAGCAGTCCTGCATCATTGTTTGCCACGATCCTCAGGCTGCTTTTAGGAAGAAAGTTCCAGAAATCAGAATCATCAATAACATTACAGAAACATTTAAAAAATAAAAAAAACCCTAGTGTCAAAATGAATGTTTTCTGTTTAAGTGATTTTTTTGGGGGGTTTTGGGGGTGATTTGTTGGGGTTTTTTTTTAAATCCTATATGGTATGTCCAACAAATATATTTCTTCTGAGACAATTTCACCCAGCTCTATTTAGGGCTGGCTAAATAAGTCCCCTTTCAGATCACTGACTAGAAGCATTACCAGCCTGACTCTTAATGGGAAGCTGCTTCTCCAGCCATGAGATAACTAGCAGCACAGTTGAAGGCTGACTTGATTTACTCTAACAACTTCAAATAAATACATTTATATTTATTAAAGATGTAATTATATTAATCCATACTTCCAGTGTGCTTGAAACCAGTCCATTATTTGGATTAACCATAAATGTCTGGTCCCTGTTTGACCTTGGGTGTTGTGTAAAATTCAGAGCGAGAGCGCAAACTCCACTTGCTGTCCAGAAACAAAGAAAGGAATCTTTCCAGGATATTACAGTGGTTACATTGCAATATCTTTTTCTTAAAAAGCAGAGATCCTTGGCACCAGCATTACTGTAGTGCTGTATGAATGGAATTTACAGACAATGCTACAGTGCTGTATGAATGGAGCTGTGGTGTGGAAGGGCTTCAGCAGAACTCAGCCCATCCATGCACCTAAATGGCTTTGCCACGGAATATCAGCTCGCGTCAAAGCCAGTACAGAATCTTTAATTCTCAGAGGAAATTAGCGGGTTGTCAGAGTTTCCTTGTTAGAAGCAGGAATACTTTCCAGTCAAACCTTTTTTGGTGGTGCCCACTAGGAACTGTGGACAACCTGTTGTTGTCAACTGCTAAGAGTTTGAATACATTTGATCATTCTTCGAACACCCAACAGCTCAGTCCTTTCTTTCCAAAGATAATACCAGCATTGGGGAAAAAGGTGTAAAAAGAATTGCCCTACAGAACAGCCTTCATTCCACTACTGAGAAAGTATATCACAGGCATAGAAATCCCTCTTGGCCTCTGTTGGCTTTCTCTTGCTCCCCTGAGGCAGGCTGCATGGACAGAAAAGGGTTTGCTCTCATGTGGGCTTGCCTCAGTTCTGGCATCATCTTCACACCTACCTAAGAAAGCTTAGAAAAGCAACTCTGTACTAACTGCTTTGAGAAAGATGGTCTAAGCAGTATGCAGAGATACCCAAGAGCTGAATAACTTATTTGAGCTGCCTGCAGCCCTCAGTTCGTGTATAGCTGTTCCCAACACTGTCACCTCGCCTCACGGTGTTGTATGGTGCAGACACGCCTGTGCTCTCTGCGAACTAGACCAGTCTTTTAAAAAAGAAAAATATATACATGGTGTCAGATGTATTTTTCCTCAGAAAGCTTTTATGGGGAAAACTTGTATTCATGTGAACTGGAAGTTAAACGCTACCACGAACTACAACAACACTCTGCACGCTTCCAGGCCTCAGTTTCCCAGCTCAAAAACTTGAGGTACGCTGCTCCCAGCAGTGTGCTTCTCATGAGCCTTCATTCATACAAGTCTGGCTACTCTGACAGCTCAGGAGAACACCACGGAAGTGCTGCAATGGTAACAAAAGGCAAGATCAGGCCATCTGACCTACCTGTGACTTTGCATTCAGGGGATTCTTATTCACGTGAAAAGAAAGAAAGTGCCTGGTACTGAAGCAGGGAATCTAGGATAACTGGTGAAGATGGCCAAAATGTATTTCCTCCTCCAGCAGTCAGTGGAATTAAAGCCCTCCGTTACAAAGTTCAGACCCAAATAGCAAGGCAAGCCACCTGCGTCTCCACCACAACCCCCGCGGTTTTGCAGACCTTACTAGGTCAAAACACTAGCACTGGCAAACACCCCAAAATTAAGCCCCCACCCTCTTATGCCCCTTTTTCCAACTATTCAGCCTTCCTCAAAATAGCATCTTTTACCCACCTCACCACCCAGGTCTTCAATTTTATTAGCACAGCTGCCTTCACTCCTAACCAGAGGGCAGGATAAGCCTACAGTTACTGTACACTAAACAGAAACACCTGTGACACTCTCTTTTTCATATACATTCATATATATACATATATTAGTTATTATTTCTTTTCTTCAGAGCACTAAGTCCCGTGTTCTGCAAAGGAAAATAAATCCCCATCCTTACATTCTCTCCCACACCCCCCACGTGGCCTTGACAGACAAGCACAGACGGTGCAGCAAATATTTCACTTCACTTTATTTTAAAGAAAAGGAGAGAGGGGGAGAAAGAATTCTTGTGGCATTCCAGAGGTCCCTGGACACTCATTCCAAATGCCGGAGTTGGGCCCTGGGTGAGTTTCAGTCTAAAAGAGAACCTGGGTTTCTAGGCAGCCATCCAAACTCAACACAGACACTTTTTTTTCTTTCTAAATCAGTTTTTAAAAAAAATTAAGACCTAAAGAGAAGGGGAGGGGTAAAAAAAAAAAAAGAGAGAGAGAGAAGGGAGAGAGAGAAGTGGAGGGGAAGGAGAGGCAACCAAGGCAGCAGAAAATGAGTGCAACGGGAAGAACCTCTGTTTTTATTGCCAATTTGGAGTTTTATCACCAAGAGACAGAGTTGGAACCACGCAAGGAGAAGGGCAGCTTCCCTCATGGCCATGAACACATGGCGAGGAGAATCAGACCACCTTTCTCTCCTTGGTGATGGCTCCTCCCAGGGTAGAGGAGGCTGGTTTTGGAGCTGGTTCTCACCATGTTTTGCTCGCGTTGGCTGTTGCCATCCTTTTCCCTGATGCACAAGTGAAGGCAGCTCTGGCACACCAGTCCTGGAGAGGTCCAGCTCTGGCTTATGGATTCAGTCCCACCACAGCTGTGCCTAACCAACAGCAGGCCCAGACCTACTGCAGCTCAATCTAACCAGCACCTCGGTCGTCACAGGAGGTCTGTGGCACTGCTGGAGAATTCTCTCAAGACAGTTACTGACTCCTACTGACCTCAGCCCACGGAGAGCCACAATATCACTCCCTTCTGTCACCTTGCACGTCATGGCATTGGTCAACACCGAGTTATACTTGGAAAGTAAACCAATTTCTGAGAGTACTGCTAGTTCTTACCTCACTCAGCTTAGCCCAGTTGAAGGATTTCAGTGGGTGTGAAGGCTGCGGGATAGATTTCTTCTTCAGGCTGGTGCCACTGCCGCTGAAGGTGGTTGTTGAAGGGGGTGGCATCCCCATGCTGAAGAAAGGTGGTGCTCCTGGTGGGGGAGGAGGTCCTCCTGGAGGAGGTGGTGGAGCAGGAGGAGGGGGACAGCTGGAGAAAGGCAGAGGAGGTGGCAGGGGCGGCAAATTCTCAGACATGTGAGAAGAGGGCAAAGCTAATGGGCCACCTGGAGGCGGGGGTGGTGGGGGTGGGAAGGAAATGCTGCCCCCTTGCTGGAAAATAAAAAACACACAGAAAAAGAAAGCAAACAGTTTAAAAGGCACAATAACTCCATGTTGCCAGCTGATGTGATTTTATTACGAGTCTCAAAATATTTGATGTTTTCTTTAAAGCCTCCTGCACTCAAAGCCATGCAATAAAGGGAGGAATCTCAGCTTTCATTTAAGAGAAAGTTTCAAGCCCTTGAAGTTTGGAGAAGAGCTTGAAAAAAAGGAATCATAAATGGCTCAGAAAAACAGAAAGCTAGTAAAAGAAGCCAAAATGTATTATTTTCTCCTTATGCATGAAAAAAGAGAAAAGTTCAATCATATGAACTTTTGAACCCCTAGGTTTTAAACCTTAGGGTTTGAAATACTGAGTATCTGTCATCAGGCCCCACTAATGCAAAGTGGGAGAGGGAAGGAGGGAATGAATCTGCTTTCTGCAGCGTCTGACTTCTCAGGCCTGTGTCATGGTGGGTGGAAGCTCAGACACACTGTTGGGACAGAAGGAGCACCAAGCAGGAGGGGGAGCCGCTGCAAATGTCACTTCTGCAGAGCTCCAAGGCAGTACAGATGCTCCTGAAGCATGACAGGGATCCTGTTTCTTCACTAAATGTACTTTCGTATCTGGGAGGTTTCTCCCTATTCCACTGAAGTAACAACCAGGGCCACCCCACTCAGCAGTAAAAATTATGGCTGGAGGAGGACACGCGTGCCTCAGCAGCTCCAGCAAGGGAGGTGGCTGAGGAGATAGACTGGAGCAGCCCATGCATTATCCATTCTATACCACCAGCTCAGCGATTTCGGTCTCAGCTAAAAGCTGAGCAGCTTCTAAGTACTCAACTTCATAGATGGCTAGTCAGTCTCTCCCTGTACTGACCACAGAAAGCGTTTCACTCATAATGTGTTTTTGTTCCTCATTCACTAGTTAGCAGGCTTTAAACAAGGATAAGAAGAGTCCCAGTCTCATACCGAGAACTCATTAAGTTGAGCCACCAGGTCGTTCATCTGGTCCCGGGTCTGGCGCAGCTCCAAGGATTCTTTCTGCAGCTTGTCCTTCATTTTGTTCAGTGTCTTCATCATTTCATCTTTCTCCTGGGTCTTTGTCTCACATTCCCGCTCCTTCTTCTCTAGCCTGCTCATCAGCTCAGCATGATCTAGGGGGAACGGGCAAGTGGGGCTGATGAAATACAACTCATGAACAGTCCCCAAAGAGATGCAGGTTATGCCGAAATAGAGCTGAGAGATCTGTCAGTACAACCGGGGATGTATAATGAAAGCAGGAAAAAGAAGAGTCTGACTGTCTTGACAGCGACCTTCAGTGATCAAGGCATCAATGCCCAAGTTGCACTTAGACTGTAAAATCACTTCATGTGAGGACTGAGGGAAGCCCCATCCTGTGAAACACACACCATGAGACAAAACGTACTGGAGGGAACAAAACAGGGTTTGTCCACAAAAGGAGAAGTTGTGCCCAGCTCTGCTGCTCGCCGCTCTGTAACTCAACCAGGATCAGTCTTGCCTCCTCTTTTGCCTCCCCAAGCACAAAGGAGGCACTCACCTTTCCGAAACTTCTCTGCCTGGTCCCTCCACTGCTTGACTTCGTTTTCGTTCACCAGCCTGAAAGATGAAATGAGACCATTTAAACTTGTTCTGAGCTACCCGGGCTGAAAGGCAAGTGGCCAATAGGTGTAGTGATCAGCAAAAGGCACCCTGGTGAATTCACATGTTTATTTAAACGTTTACAGGATCATACCAGTGGTCAGTCTGGTTCCAGATCCTGATCCTTACTGTAGCCAACAGCTACTATAAATGTGATGGCTTGTTGCTCAAAGCCCTGAAAAGGGATAAAGGAATGCCTGGTGAAAAATCCTGGTATGTTCCTGCCTTCAGGTAATGCCCTCAAAGTGCCAAGTCTGGTTATTTTGAAAGAGAGAAGGCATCACTAAAGTAATCATAGCTGCTGTGGGTTACGTATTACCCCACCCTTCATACGAGACCAAATTATCTTCTTTTTTTCTACTTTCTGTGGTTCTATTTTTTCTTTCTTACAAGGAGGGAGGATGCTTATCTATTGGGTAATACATCAGTAACAAGGCAATGCTCATATCTCATACTGGCACAGCTATTTCCTATTACTGACAGAAAATATGCAGGGCATGCTGGGGATTGATTAGATACGCAGAATGAGGAGTAGCTATGAAAGTAGAAAGGGAGGATCAGGCAGGAGGCCTACAATGAAGTCTGATATCCAGACAGACAGAAAGACGTCAACGCCAGCGTATTATTCCATGACGAGAAATCAGCTTTGATTTTGGCTCGTGCCTGTAACAAGAGGGACTATAAGATTTTTAGTACAGGAGAATTTGGTTTCATATGAGGCTCATGTTCTATAAAATGCTCTTTTCAGTGGATAATTCAGAAGGGTAATGGGCCATGAATTACCTGCAGAGGCAGATGGATGGGACGAAGGGTCCAAAAGTTTGGCTAAAAAAGGACTGAGAACAGGGAAGTTGAGATGAGAGCCAGCTCATGTAGCTAGACTTCTCAAATGATGCATCCTATAGGAAAAAATAACGGTAGTGCCCTCAGCCAAGTCTGTGGGTGAGAGCATACAGACATTTTATGAAGAGGTAAAAGGTTTTGTGTGCTAGGTGTGGGCTGCTTTCCACTATTTGAAATCTTTCTAAACTACGTGCTCATTAGTGAGGAATGAGATCTAAATAGACATGACCATGTTTTTTTTTATTTTTTTTGGAATAGCATTGAAAGCTTTCATCAAAACTCTGAATAAAAAAAGGCACATGACAAACCCGTGTTATAAAATCATGGGTATTTTTTCTGCTCTTCTAGACAGCTTAATATTTAATAGATATTAGAAGTCAAAGGCAAGGACTTTGTTAGAAAATACTGTCTAGTTAAGATGTCATTGGAAGGAAGCTATTTAGAAGACTAACAAGACAATGAGAAGCTGCAGGTAAAAATAAGAAACTCCTCACATACGATACTTTATTCCTTGAGCACCTGCATACTTATCATATACCCGTATAACAGAAATAAACAATAATAACGCAGCTTACATTTTAATGATATTTTTGACATTGAAGTTTTCCAGTGGAGCTATATCCGGATCATCTCCTCGTTCATCCTGAAGAACAATTTGTTGGAGTATTCTGTCTAACAGCTGCCACTGCTGGAAGTTTCCTCCATTCCTCTTATCTGTATGGAAAAAAGACCAGTCCATGAGAACTTCCATTTCCACACCAAAGTGCACAGACCCGCCAACAGACTGGCGTTCCTTCCTTTCCACCTTCCATCTCGATCCTGTATGTAGTAACTCATAGAGCACAAAGCCTAACCCCGCACTGCTGCTAGCAGATTATTTACAAACAGTTGGCATACTGGAACAGCACACAACAGGCACGGGCAACTCAGCACCTGATCTGCACAATCAGGCTGTGCAGCCCTTTTGGCAGACTAGCTCTAACTTGCACTTTAAACATCTACAGAAGTGACTCCTTTGTGATAGCTGCTACTCGGTATTTTCTGGGGCTTGATGTTGGGGGGTTTTTTTGGTACCATCAAGACCAGACACTGCAAAACCAATCAGATCTTCTATCTGCACGCTCGGTTATCTGCAGGTCAGTGAAACTCAACTGGCATGAAAAATTCATATAAACATGACCAAAAAGTGTGGAGAGAAAGAACAGAAATTGAACCAAAGGGACTGATCCCATGGACACCAAACAGAAGAGCCAGAGCAACATCAAGTTCATCTCGGCTCCCTGAGTTACACAACCTAGACCTTTAGGTTCTTTAAAACTGCTCCAGCACAATCCTGTCCTGAACTAGCAGGATTTAGCCCTTCTTCCACCAAAAAAGCCAGGTCACTACCTAAAGCTCAAGTACTGTCTTAAAGAGTAGTATCGAGAAGATCACTGGGACAAACAACTGCTTGAATTTGTCCATGGCAGCAGTTGAATCCAATGAGCGCCTGAGAACATACCACAGCACTTTCTGAACAAGCACACCACAGTACATCTCCCTCTTGTTCCCTTCTCGGTTTGCTCAAGTATGGCCAAAACTAATCAAGACCAGCACTTGATACCTAACAGGATCCAGGCGGGCAGTTCTTAATGATCTTGCTATGCCATTGCTCAGCTGCTACACTCTGGAAGTGTAACTGAATTATTTTATTACACTTAACAAGAAGATTACTATCACTTCTTTTGAAAACAAATGACAATATTATTTTTCAGCTTGAGTTCAGGAGCTCTTCCCTGATGCCTTGTCATGAGACAGCAGCCTGAAGACTTACTATGGAATTTCCCAGTGACAGAACAGCTTTCAGTACTGTATTGTTCCACCAGAAAAATTCCTCAGTGCACTGTATTAATACTCAAAATGGTATCTATTTCTGGGAATTCCCTGATCTAGAGCACAAGGGCTCTTTCTTTTTTTAAAACTTCTAATTTAAAATCATTAAAAGCTCTGTCAGTGAGTAACTGGAATGTCTCAGCTACTTAATTTTATTCGCAAGTGCGGAGAGGTCACGCTGCTGCTTTAAGCGTCGCGACAAAAATCTGCTGGATGGAGTCAGTGTACGATACCAAGTCCCTCAGCCACTGCCAAGTTCTGAACGGAAGAGAAGGGCAGTGTGTGTCCTGTTATCTGTGACCCTGTGCCTACGCCAAACCATCACCCGGTTCTTCAATACCGCTTGCTCTGGGAAACTGTCATGTACTCACATGGCATCTGCAAGCAGTGCTGGAGGATGGATAACAAATAGGGATAGGCGTCCGTGTGCTTCAATCTCTTCTTGATCAACTCAAACATCTGAGAGGCACTTTTTGTATCAATGTGGATCTGAAGTGAGAGAAGGTAGTGAAAGAACAAGTAAGAGAAAAACCATGCGCAGTGAAAGCCTGACTAACTGTGAAAGATCTGATCAGCACAGAGACAGGCAAGTTTCTAGCAATTGGACCTCTGCAGTCTCCTCCAATGTCCAGCTGCAAGTTCCAGTGAGGAGCAGGCACACGGGTCTCTCAGACCAGAACTGCTATCCCCACTCCAGCATGGAAAAAATCCCTACAGAAAAGGGCTGGAAAGGTGGGAGGCATGCAAAGCCACCAAGAACTGTTCTGGAGCAAGCAAAACATTTGTCCTAGAAAGTGGTGGCACAAATAGTAGAAGCTAAAGCAGAAAAGGGCTAGTTGTTCTGTATTGGTATGTGCTAAGAGCTGGTCATGAAGAACGAGGGAACTAGAACTGCTCTGGACCCTACAGCTTCTTACTGTTGCTAAGAGGTTGTGGAAATTGTCCTTTATGCTCATCTTTAAAATCCACCCAATCTAAAATACTGATCCTCTCCACAGGCTCTGAGGTGACAGTCTTCAGGAAAGTTTCCTGCAATCTTGTGAAAAATATCAGAGAAGAGCCCAAGCTTCACCCATGGTCCTGTAAAGGGGATGTCTGAAACTGGAATGCATCTGGATCATCAGGACTGAGAACAGGAGAGTAGGACAGAGCACCTTCTCCACGCCCGAACCTTCAGCCAAACAAAGAAATAAGTTTTTGTCAAAGACACTTGGCATAAGCCCTGTCTGCCATCATTGTTTTCATTGTTCACATATCACAGACCCCCTACTGGCTAAATGAGAAGCACTGAAAACAAGAGCACCGGTCACTCTCAGCACCAAAGTCAATCATTGTTTTAAGGGAACACAAAGTGAAGTTGCACCAAACATGCAATGTGGATGTCCAGCTTTGGCAAGCTCAGGTACTCCAGAGGAAAACTTACCAGGTCAAACCGCTTGGCAAGTTCCAGGTCATCTTCATTTCTGACCATCTCAAAGAAATCTAAGTGCCTAAGAGAAAACAGAAAAGCAAACCAAAGAAAGCCTGCCAATATTCATGGCATAATTCAGACTTTAATTAAGCGTGTCACTACAGAAGCAGCAACACTTCATCTCCAGCTAGAACACTTGGAAATTGGCAAGCCTTTCTTGCATGAAGTGCTGGGAGAGGTATGCAAGGCAACTCACGGGGGTCAGTGACAGGCCAAAAGGGATGGCTGGCTGAGTATGCTCTCTAATCCTTGTGCTAAGTCACTGTGTTGAGGTAAGGCTGCTAAAAATAAACATAAAATAGGAAAGGGATATTCTATTTGTGATGAATGCAATGCCTGCAGTGATAATTTCTAAAAAGTCCATACTTGTTAACCAGATACCGGACCATTAGCAAGTTGTTTCCTTCACGTGGTGGAGCAGAGATGCATTCAGGGGATTAGTTCAACAGCAGAGCTCACATCTGTCTTTACATTTGCCTATCGATGAGCATAGCAGCATGCCTCTGTTGGGATCTGGGGGACCTGGTGATAGACACGTTTGACCGTGGCATCTGACTTCTCTTGCAGGGAGACCAGAGCGCAGCAGATGAGGTGGAGAAAGGCTGTGGCACATCCCCCTGTACAGACCTGGCATACAGTCTGTGTAATCTAGGCATCTGGGATCCTCTCAAACCTCTGTTATCATTCTCATAACTGTAACCTGTAAGATTTAGAAGTGCCCCTGAGCATCTCCTAAACACCCCTGGTTACTGACCAAAGGAACAGAGATGGCCTGTAGGACAGATTCTCTTCTTGGTTATAATGTTGTAGATCAAAAGGAACATTACTGCCTCCAGCTCTGCAGCAAACTGTCCACACGTACAAGGGCATGCCATCTTTCCCCGTGACATCAAGACACAGGTATGTGCCTTTCCCTGCTCAAAAGTGTGAGGTGTCTTCATGACAGGCAGCTGGTGCTAACCTGGTGCTTCTGCAGAGTCTCAGGCCCATTGCATTTGCCCCCAGGGATAGCTCTGTCACCCTACAGCAGCTCCTGACCGTGGATGTTTGAGGAAATGGTGCCTTGAACGCTGCAGGCATAGGCCTGATCCATAGGTTTTTCACCATGTGCTTTGGCAAACTTGACACTTCTACTTAGAAAAGCCCAGATATCAGACACCTACAAATCAGCCCTACTCTGTAGGAAGGGGCTTGAGGTAGCAGACAATAAGGGGTAGCAGCACATCAGCAGGTCAATGCCTCTCCCCGAAGCTTAATGCGGTCACAGCAGAAGGTAGACTCCCACGGCTGCCTGCTCTTCCACCTTAAAATGCATCATTTTGTTAAGCAAATGGATTTTACCAGGCTCATCAGCCTTTTATCTTCTTGAAGTATCTCAGTCAATTTGTTCAGATTGTTTACTCCAAGTTTATTTCAGCATGTGGCTTTCTGAAGGGTTTAATTTAAATTCATTAGCAGCTTCAATGACTGTGGCAAAATATGGAACTGGCAGTGGAGAAAGCATTTATTATCTGTATAACTTTTAACACAGTAACGTGAAGGTGCCTTTCAGTGTTACGTTCTGTGCAGTAGCAGGGCTGTTTGAAGACGTTCCTCGTTCTTCTCTCTTGCCCCCCGGCATCTCTACCCCTTCGCCCACCACAAGTGCCTCTTCTCTTATAGTTGTGCCACTGCCACTGTTTGGAAGGTTGGGATACAAGCTAGATCACAAAAAAGACTGATCTTAAAGAAAAACCTTGGAAACGCAGAACCTGCACTTTGACCACCATACTCAGTCTCAATGAAGTCAGGGAACTACTGGCTTCCCTCCCTCCTATCAGGACAGGCTTTTGTTACAGTTGTACTACAACAGAAAAGAATTAGAATATTTTTTTTTATTATTATTATTATTTTTCATTCTGATTGCCAGCCCCACCTTAGAAGAAAAGCAATTCAGGAACTCCTTGCCACAGCCACTGATTATTTAATATGTACGTTTCCTACTTCATCTGCTGATTTCAATTTTAAGGACAAATCTCCTTTTTGTCTTTAAAGGGGGTCAGTATTAGGAAGAGACAGAGACAGCTTTGTGCTTACACCTGAAACCCAAATGGACAAGAGTTTCTAAGAACTCTTTCTGTTGACCAACAGCTGTTCTCAGAAAACATGTCTTACCTGTCCAGTGTGGCATTTTCATGACCTCTTAGCTTGTCAATGACGGGTTGAATTCCCAGCATTAAAAACTCATATCGTAGGTGTAATCGGAACTCCAAATTGTCCTTAAAAAGTGGGGGAAAATCATGTAATTGGGTTCCAAAAGCTTTTAATTGCATTTTTTTTAAAAAAACATTACTTAAAACCTCAGTTCTATGCTTTTCAACATCCTTTATGCCGGCATCAAATTCACAGGATGATTAATTCCAGTAAAGTAAGTAAAAAACCCAAACAAACCTCCTTTGCTTCTGTTTCACTTAAAAATACAGTCCTCATCTACCTACCATGAGTTCTGCATACGCAGTAAGGAGGACAGCACCCTCCATGGTGTTCCATAAAGAACAGAAGTTATTAGTGTTTGTCCTCCTAGTCCATTAGAGCTCTGCCTCCTGCTTCCAGAGGAACAGTACTGCAGTCTTCCTCCTAGTTTTTATGTTTGTTTGTCATAAAATCACCGTATACTCTGGCAAACTTGACACCTACTCAGGGGGATGTTACAGGAGGGCCACAGACAGACACAAATACATTGCCAGACAGAGCTCTTATGAGCTTGTTGACTGTTGTGGTTTAACCAAAATAAAAGAAGAGCCAATGTAACAAAAGGAACACTTTCAATGAAACAACATCAATTTAAACTATCCTCCAGACTCAAAGGGAAGTTCTGTTAATGAAAGAAAACCAACAATCTGCCCTTTCTGAAATGTCTCCCTTTGAAATTTTTAAATTTAAACGTTTTGAATTTGGCCTTGAGTCAAAACGACTTAGCATTTCAAAACATTTCTGAAGGTAAATCAAAATGTTTTCTAAAAGGCTGAAATTAATAAGTAAATGCTTTGCAGTTCTTTAAAAGACCAACAACAACCCCCCCCAAAGGAATCATTTCAGTGCAAGTAGTCTATGTTATATTAGAAGAAGCTGGGAATGAAATAATATGGAAGATATTATAAGACTGATATTAATAGTTAAGCGTTATTTTCCACAAACTATATCCACTCAGTAACACAAGATTTGTGACTTAATCTACTAACCATTTCCAAGGTAAATTTATTTAAGCATAGCATTTTAGAAGGAATTTCCAGGGCAGTGACTCACCTCACCAGCACCAGCATTCAGAACAGCATTGATAAAGGACATGATGGCTGTTTTGAGATTTACTTCATCTCGGTATCGCCCCATGCTTCGGTCCAGCTCATTCAACAAGGTCTGAAAGAGAACAGCAGGCTGGGTTAGAGGATACAATCAAATTTCTTGCACTGTTTTCACACCGTTCATGGGATACACACGCAATCTTCTTTTGATTTTCTATATATTTGCTTAAAGAAACACTTTTTTTTAGACAAGGCTGTTAGCAATTTTGCACATGCCACAATAAACAAATGAAGAATAGTGACTGGAATAAAATGCCCACCTGATCCTAATGGGAAAAAAAAAAAAAGAAGTTTCTTTTAAAAACAAGCTACCTTTTTAATTTCTATTTTATATTTTTATCTGAGAAAAAGCAGATGCCCTTCATAGTTCTTGCCAACATGACCTAAGAAAGCAGCAGAACGATGTCCTCACTAGTCAGTTAACTCTGTATAGTGAACATGACAGGGAGTTTATACATGCATCACTGAAGTCATTTTCATTAGTTTCTTTGATCTCAGCAGGATAGATTGCACTTATGTATACAGGCAGAGAGAAGCTGCCTTTTGAGGAATAAAACCTATACCTGAACCTTGGAAGATTCCTCCTCGTTCCTTCACTTGCAACCATTTCACATGAAGCAGACAATCACCTTCCTCTTGGTAAGGCGCATTCTAGGGATTTGCAAACAACAGGAGTGTCCCCTGTGCATGCAGCTCCAAAGCTCAAAGGTGAATTACACAGCTCCACTGGAAGGGCAGTTAAGTTCCAGTTTCCTTGCTGCAGAATCATAGAACGATTTAGGTTTTTCAGTGACCTTTTTAAGACCATCTAGTCCAAGCCTTCTGCAATGGGCAGGGACACCTTCCACTAGACCAGATTGCTCAAAGCCCCGTCCAGCCTGACCTTGAATGCTCCCAATGATGGGGCATCCACAAATTCTCTGGGCAACCTGTTCCACTCTCTCACCACCCTCTTCATAAAAAAAAAAATAAAAAAATCTTCCTTTTATCCAATCAAAATCTAGCCTTTTTTAGTTTAAACCCATTACCCCTTGTCCTGTCAATACAGACCCTGGTAAAAAGTCTTTCTCTGTCTTTCTTATAAGCTCCATTTCTATGTTGAAAGGCTGCTATAGGGTGTCCCCAGAGACCATATGTCCCCCTATTAACCAAATCGCAGGGGTATTTGGCATTCAGGGGGTATTAAGCACAGAAATGCTTTTGGTCTAATGTCTACGTACATCTAGATATTTCATCATAATCTTGTGAACATTTGGAGTCAAAGGAGAAAAAAGGGTAGACAAATAAAGTTGGCAGCCTGTGCCTGATATGGTCTATGTAGGATTAATTCCACTTGAATATTTACCAAAGAGGTTATATGTAGAAACTGATTAGCCATGAAAGCAACTCTACTTTAGCTTTCTGCTGATGACCATGAATCTTCTCTTCAGGATCTTCTCTGATCAGTTCATGATTCCAAGGATGATTTTCCTTACTGGAAGAGTAACAAATTCCACTTGAGATCTGCCAGTTCAATTGTACGCGTCTCACTCCAGCATTAAAAATAAACACCCCACACTCATATATTTGTTTTGCTGACGCATGAGAAAAGACAGGATCCTTTTTACTTTTCCCAAGAAGTTTTGGCCATAAAGGGAGAAGAAAGACAAAAATAACTTTTTAGTGTTCGGCTCAGCAGATCATCTAAATAATATTTTGAAGCTATGATGCTGAGTAAGGAAGTTGGTTTTCCTTTAGTCAGTCTTCTGTCCCTGGCTACTGAAAGTGTTCATTCATAGCAAAATCTTCCCTGTGTTAGTCATCAGCTTCATAGGTCTATCTTGTTTCCTGAAGAAAATAGACATCATCATGGAGATATGTCTCAAGAAACAGGGGGAATATCCTCCTGTGCATTCTCCAGGGAAAATAAAACCCTCCTGGCTTCATGCAGTTCCTTTGCTTGTTCTTGTGTAAAAATCTTTTGATCTGTCATTGCTGCTGACAGCTGTTCTTACATCTCAGCATAGGATGTTCACTATCAAGCAAGCTTAATTTCATGAACTCATTTTTCTTGCGTCTTCTAAATTGACCAGCTGGCATTTGCAAATGTCCTTATTCCTGGTATTTGAATTTCTATCACATCCCAGTAGGTAAGTTATGACCAAATACCAACCCTTCCTCCATTTTGTTAGAAATCAGAATAAGTCTTACATGAAAATACCTGAAATGCCCTACTGAGCCAGACTGATGGTTAGTCCAGCCCAGCATCCTGTCTCTACCCATGACAATAGGAGACCATTTAAGTCTTTAAATTCACCAACAAAACCAACTCTCCAACTTGACAAATAGGCAGAAGTGAAATAAATGAGAGAACTTAGTTCTGTTACTATCAGATTTGATGCTGAAATCCAAAGCACGTGTGTCTTCTTGGAATTACTACAGAAGCATCAAAACCAAGGATGGCTTTGCTGGTTTTCTTCGGAGGCCTCATTCCTACCATACACTCTCACATACTTTTAGGAACATGCAACAACATATCAGATACACCATCCAGACACGTTGAAGGATGCTAATGAAAGTTTTCTATCACCCATTTCAGAAGGCGGGACTAGGAGCAGAATGCAGTGGAGGCCAAGCCAAATTCAGGGCAAGAACAACAAAATCTCTGGGATATATTACGCTAATTGAAGAGCAGCACATCTTCATGCGATTCTCCAGCTTTAGAAGGAAACACTCAAAGTTCAGGCAGTTCCTAAAGATCAGAGTCTACACCCACACACTGTGGCCAAACTCCAATATCTCCAACGCTTTGCAAATGGCTGAGGTTCAAGACTTGACTTGAGCATTTCCTGTGAAAAAAATTTCACCACACCTCTTGGCAGCGAGCTCTGTGGCCTAATTGATCTTATGGTTGTAAAGGTTTTTCCTACTATTTAAGCAAAATTTTCCTCACTTAATCCCATCATTCCTCATCACTGACATCCAGCAGGGTTTCATTCAATCTGCAGCAAACCTCAAAAGGCTTTGGATGAGCCCTCAGGGGAAGAGGCAAATCAAGTGGGAATACAGGATTTAAATTTGTTCCTTGTTAGCTCCTCTACTACAACTCCAAATTGATCATATTTCTCCCTACAGATTACCGTAGGTCTGTACTGACAGTGTTTAACACAAACCAGGCCAGGGGGCTCTGGAAGGCATGCTCCTAATCTCCACCTTTTCCACTGACAATATCAAGCTTCCTTTGCTCCTTTCACCTCAAGCTTCAACATTTCTATCAGCCTTAAGGAGGAAAACAAGAGTGTTCTGCCCAAAGTGGCCCAGCTAATATTTTCATCATCATGTGAAATCAGCTCCTTTCAGGCAGTATCCGACACCAAGGTTCTCTCAAGTCTAAAACAAAAAGTCTTTCTCCCCACAGGGGTCCCCAGCTGGGTGGGTGTTTCAGATAGCAACCTAGGCTGGAAGGGCACTGGAACATCCTGATACACCTTTCTGGGCCAGTACAGCATTATGACTTTGGAACATTAATTTGACTCAAAATATGCCACATTAATAAGTACAACATGTTACAACGTCGTAACATAATGTGTTCACTCCACTGGAGAGATGAGGGGAAGCCACAGGCATAACATAATCAGAAAGGCAATAGCTTAGGGAAGAGTAAGCTTGTGCCCCTCTCACAAAAGCAATCAGTCATAAATAGGATAATGCAGGCATGAACGACACTGAAATCAGAGACTCTTCTTTCTTGGTTTTCATAGCATTTTAGAAACCTCCATCTTCACACAAAAAGCAGCTCAGAAATTCAAGAAAAAGCAACATTTTCATGGGCACACAGCGAGCCAGTGACAGAATTACAGTAGTACCAATTTTAAATACATCAGATGGAAAAGAATTCCAGCAAGGACACCAAGGGCTCGTCTTCCTAATTCCACATTTCTGCTTTGAGGGCTTATTGTCTGGCTTTCCAATGTTTTCTTTCATCTCTCTTCTTTAAGGGGCAGAGTAGAATTTGTAGGCAAAGAAGCACATTTCAAACAAAAATTAGATGAAGAAAAGACAGAGCTTTTCCAGATTGCCTCAGGAAGAAGATTGAAGGCATGCCTTTATATTATTGTGGTATTTCAGTAAAGATGGAATACTCCTCTGAAGAGGACAGTTTTCAAGGAATATTTTAAAAGACAAATTGCAGACTGCCTGTTGGACATTAAAGGGAGAGTTATTCCAGGCAGAAGGGCAGCATGAAAGAAGGGTCAAAGATTAAAGCAGGCAAAGGGATCAGCTCAGGCAAGAAGTTCTGAAAATAGTGAGAAAATTCTGAAAAGTTCTGAAAATAGTGAGAAGTTCTGAAAATAAGTGAGAAAATAGGAATAGCCACAATATAAATTCAGACACAAACATAAAGTATAGAATCTTCTTGTAAGTGCCAAGACAAAGATGATCCCGATAGACCTGTGAACACACTGAAGAGCAGAGACACAGGGGGAAGTTGTAGCGCTAAAAGGCACTCAAGTGAAGACTGAAGTCTCAATAAAGAAGAGTAAGTTCTGGAGAATCCACAATAGCTTTAAAGTGACTCCCCTCTGAAGTTAAGGATTAGGTTGATAATTGCAGTCAATAGATGAAATGCTGGCAATTTAGAAAGAAGCACTATTTTACATCAGAGTTTCCACTCACAGCAAAATATAAAATTTTATTAAGTGAAGGAGATGGTCCTCCATGTTGGTAAAAGATCTATTTCCATTCATTTAAATTGAAAAAAAAAAAAAACAAACCAAAACAAACCCAAAAACATCAAAAAGGACAGACATCCTGTCCAAACTATTTCAGCACAGTTTGACTAGTGGTCTTCAGTTGGTATGACCTGGTGCACTTTAGTTAAATTAATTGGATTACAAGTGTTTATATCACTCAGGAATCTCACTGTAATTTGGACTTTGACTTTAGATACACCAGTATAAAACTGTAAGTTTCGTATTCAAATAGTAGGAGTTACAGCAGGACAGAGACAATGCAAGTTTAGTAAGAACTGCATTTTAAGTTGCAGCTTTCCCTCTCTACGAATTCAGCAGCTGATGGGTCTTCTGACTACTTTTGGCCAGCTGTGCCAGACAGCAAGAGTTGGGCTTAGAACGCTGACCAGCAGTAACTTCTGACATTCAATGAAACATGCCATGTTCTATGTTACCGTGTCAAATTCATGGTCTCTACATCACTCCACCACACTTGAGCATGTGCAAATTGGAAAAAAAAAACAACAGTGTTCCAATCTAAAGCTGTCAGCAGCAAGTTATGTACAAGCTCAAGTTTTAGGTGGTTGCCAGTAAATAACTCTGAACCTCTCTTCCTCTGTCTTACAAAGAGGAGTGGAAGCAGAACCATGCACCCCAGATTTTTATCCATCAACATGGCATTCCTCTGCAAGAAGGCAAAAAAAACCCCCAACAGTTTGTGTTGGGGAAAAGTAGATCTGGAACAGTGTTTCTTACATTTACCTCCTGATTCCTCGAAGTACATAGTGCTGGTCACCACAGATGACACGGGGAGAGTGGGGCACTTAGACTTACTGCAAGAGGGGAAAATAAATCCAAACATCTAGCATACGAAGTGCCAGCTTTCATAGATGAGGAGGGATAAATTGACAGCGAGGTGGCTGAAAGGGATGAAGAGCATTATCAACCACTGCTGTCAGGAAGGCAACTAAAGGAAAAGCAACAATTGCACTGATGTTGTCAGAGGTCCGCATTACCTGTAAGTTATTTATTGGACATTCCAATAAAAGTGAGCTCAGTACAGTTTCCAGAAAGCCCTACACTTTTTACTTAACAAAACCCTACACTTTTTACTTCACAAGAACAGAGTTTGATTTCCAAAATGGAGAATGTGAAGTTATTCTCCTCTCAGGTATTGTGTCTCTAATTTGGCCATTGTCCCACGGAGCTAGATCTAGAGAAAGACTGAGCAGTGCCTTTACAGTTCCCAGTTTTCCTTTTTTTTCCCCTCCATTAGAATTAATCTGCAATAATGAGCCATTGAGCCAAAGGAATAAATTCCTACTCTGCGCAGTCAAAGTATGTTTCTCCTGTTCCTACAGTTTAGTTCATTTTTTATTACTTTTTACAGAAAGAATTCTCATTTCTTGGTTCTGCCAGATCCCCATTCGTGGGGGATTATATTCAATTTAACAGTGTTAGGTGTGGCCAGTCAAAGTGAACCTAAAGCTGCAAGCTCTAAACTGTTGGGCCACTTCAGCACACTGGGTGATGCTGCTAGTTGCTCAGGCTATAGAAAACACATCCCCAAAAGAGTTCAGCTTGAAACCTAAAGGATGTCTTCAGATACTTGCAAAGTTTGGGTTACAAAGATTATAACTCAGGACTAGGATAAAGAAAAAAAGGCTTTCGCTGGCTTTCATTGTACGCCACATCTTTGAAGTTTACAGGAAAGGCCCAGGACAAGCATTGCCAGCTCATCCTTTTCTAAAAAGGGCCTCCCACAGTGAAGTTCCACTGGATGCTTCTCTTGATAATGAGCTGCAAGACCGTTCTGAGACACAGGTGTGCGAGGGCAAGAAGCAAAGAGATATAACACGCTCTTTACTGACAAGTCCTAGAGTATGAGAGAATCTTCCACTAAAACATAAGGAAGACCATGACCACGTTTGTTTCATCAGCATTTAAAAAAAAACCCAGTCTCTCTGTTGGAACAAAATGACTGAAGATGGATGAGGAATGTCTCTGGACGAACCCTCACCTCCTCAAAATTAAACTCAAGCTATTGCTGAGTGTAGTGGGAAATCCCATTCCAGCATCTAGACAGAAATGTTAGAAATTGCAAACGAGAACACATCCCTTCTGCTAAATCATTTTGGGTTTTGGCTGGGTTTTTTTTGTTTTGTTTAAGAAAAAAAGAGAGAGCATCCATTTATCTTTATTTCTTTTCCCCAATGGAAAAGCGTTTTGACAAAAGCAAGCATTTATGCAAAGTACTCTGTCATGAACGTGAGAGTTGGTAAGCACCTGCAAATCATTATATGCCAGATCCCTCAAAAGCTCAGCTGTACAAGACCTGTGCTACCACACTTTGCCCAGCGACGACTTATCTCAGTTATTCAGTTAATAGCAAGCCAAGACCTCCTGCACCCCAGTCTCAGCCAGCGAACCCCACAGTGATTTCAGTTCTAACAACAAACATTGGCAGCTACTGCTCATGAGCACAGACTGTTTCTCCATTCACTTTTGCAGCTGTAAGCTCATTGTAGCCCAAAACCCACCGATGCGTTAGCCGAGGAGGAGGTGGGAGATAACGGCTGACAGAAACCAGGATCAAGGGCCTCTTAGCCCAACACTACCCTTATCATTTCACCGAAGAAACGATGGTAAATGGGTGAGGTTACCCTGAAGTTTAGGAGCTGCAGCCTCATACACACCAACAGATTCTGTTATATTGTTTTGTAAAGGTTCTTAGTTCACTAGGAGGAGGAATGTTATACAAGAAGCCAGCAGTATCCACAATAGAAGCCTGGTGATGATCTTCTCTCCTACATCAAGGTCTCTGACATCGGGTTTCCCTTCTGTGTTCTGAATGGGAGTTATCTGAGGCAACAGTTGCTAAGTGGTGATGATTCACAAGTCGATCGCTAAGTGGCAATTGAAGTGCCTCCACTGTAAATTATTTAATCCATTGTCTCCATTATTTAATTCACAACTCTTTTATTACTAAATTAAGGGCTTTAAAATCAGGACAGCGGCTCCTGGAATTCTGTGGCTTTGGTTTCTAGAGCAAAACAAATCATTACCACCCCAGAAATGCCATCAGGTTAGAGTATGAACAGATCAGCAGCTTTCATTTAAGATAGCAAACCCCGACGTTCAAGTAAAATAGAAGGGATTTTAAGTTAGCATTAATGGCAAGCAATCAGGTCTTGAAAAAAAAATATCTATGTGCTGATAATCTGTTTGAGGAACTGCCTTTCCCAAAACAAAGTGAGAAATACTGTCTTTTTACTGCCTAGAAGCTTGCAACACACACACTGTAAAAATCTCTCCCTGCAGAGATTAATCATACTGGGTATTTCTGGCAAAGTATCCTCCTTGTACCTGGAATCTTGTCCTTTCTGCAGCATAGACTTGGTAGTGAAGCATGGCTTGCAAGACTTTCTTGTGACCATCTGGTACCAAACAGACAGCCCCTAGGATCTCCAGCACAGCAATCTTGGTCTTGATGTTCTCAGTTCGTAAGCTCTGAGAGATGATGTTGATACTCTCTGGATGAGCCAGGACATGAGCCCGTCCTTGGGAGTTGTTCATCAGTGCCTTGATACACCCTATAACGGATGTGTGTATACGGCTCTCTGAGGTCTCATAGTCCATGCTCTTCAGGAAGTTCAGCAAACAGCTCAGGCCATCCAGCTCGATAAACCTGGTCACAAACCTGAAAAAAGCCAGGTCGGAAAAATAAAGAAAGCAGACCAAAGATAACATATTCAAAAGATACCATATTATTTAACCCTGAATCTGTAAAAGCTGGCTAGTTTTTAGCCTGAAGTTCATAGAATTCCCAGTATTTAAGAAAACAAAACAAAACAAACAAAGAAGAGAGAAAACAGACCAGCTAATAATGGTGTGTCACAGTTTCAGGGTGATTATATTCTGTCACCTTACGACCCTACTGTTCAGTCGCTGTGGTCTTTGTTGCAGTTACCACCACCATCTGCTGTAGTCCACCCCAATAGTTGCTGCATTTTCACGGCTGAACGGATTCTTTCAAATTGCTACGTCTTACGTACATGCTAATACACACAGGATATATGTTCATACAGACTCATCACCACACTTTGAACTACCTTTTTTAGACTTAGGTCAAACTTAGCCTATACTACTCATAGGCTTCCACCTCCAGGAGCTGGGTCCACTGACAGAAGCAAACTCATTACCACAGTGTCTGTCAGCTGTACTGACTTCACACTCTGATCCCATGATATACATATGGGAACATATTATATTTTAAAGGGACACATTCTTCAGTAAAAGCAAAGCTCCTATAATGGCCTTGGATTCATTATTTTTTTTTGTTTTGATTTTTTAGTTTTAGTTTGAAGAGGCATATTAAGGATGCAGGTCCACTGTCAGCCTGCAGTAGCAAAATGTACAGTAAAAACATCATAAATAGAGGAAATACAGAATTAAAAAGCTACCAAATGACACATCAAAGCCTGAACCTCTAGTAGGACAGGTTCATTGTGACTATTGACATCACTAGAGTTCTGCTTCTACTGTATTCTGCCGTAAAATTTGCCTTTCTTCAGGTTAAGAATATGGAAACTGAGGTTCAAAACAATATAGAAGAAAGTCCTTGGAAAAGTTTAAGGTTTTGTTGAAAAGCAGGGTTAAAAAACCCAGATGGGTCAAATTAGACCACGCAGACAGCCTCTTAGACAAATCAACAGAAAAGGAAGTAATTATGTAAGTTAGTTCAAACCAATCATTCTAGCAATGTTTCATTTAGAGTTCCCAGGCTTAAAAAATGGGGATTCAAAGATACGAAAAGGGCTGCAAATAATTTCTCTAGATAGCTTTGTTTACATCCTGCCTCCTCTAACAGGTTGTTCAGGTAGGTGCACTTTTTAGAATGCCTGAATGCATAACCATGTGTATTATATTTGAATTTTCAGTCTACCGACATGTAAACCAACGATAATCTGTTCATGACCACACTCTAAACAGCATAATGCAGGAAGACACCTCAAACAAATGAAAAGGTTGTGTAACAAACCACCTGTGTAACAAATGAAAAATACCAAAAGTCTGTGGCATTGGGCTCTTACCCAGCCCCTCTTTCTCCCTGTTGAATACTTCCTAATGTACTGTCTTTCTCTTCCCTGTCCTTAAGTGAGATGCTGTTCCTAATATTCATCAGTAACGGAAGCACCATACTGAGACTGAATTTCACTTGTCTCTGTTCATGTCTCTGCACTAGTAAGACAAACCTGAGCCATACTTACACATATCTCCTGGATAATATGGACTTGACATATGAATGGTCTTCTGGTGGTTACATCCCACACCACACAGGAATTTTCAGGGCCTACCTGAAAGTTATGCTCACAATGCTGACAGATTTTCCAACTACCAGCTTATTTGGGCCAGCAGTTTGACCAGAAACATGGCAAAGCCTGGTGCTTTCAGCAAAGCGTCAGTCTGAGGTTTGGGGTTTGTTCAAAATCGAATTTCAAAGTGAATATCAGAGCAAGGGCAAGCACACGCAGGAACATGTATGCACCAAAAACGAAAAGAAGGTCTAGCTGAACCCTGCTAAGACAACCTGCCAAGTTTCACACAGGTCTGCACATTGCACATTCTTTGGATGCATCATCTTGTCTACCCTAACAAATCACAGAGGCAAAAGCCCCTCTCCCTCTGCCTCCAGGCCAGCAAGGGGGATCAACGTTGTGAAACAGGAATTTGGTAAGTCACTCAAAGCAGTTTGTTATTTAAACTAATTATAGAAAGATTAAAACATAGTTCAGTTTCTGTAATGAATTGAGCTGCTAGCATGCCAAAGATGACTGAAATAAGTGCATTCATGGCTAAAAGAGTTGCTGCTAGGGATGTATTTGGAACCAAAATAAGCACAAACCCAAGGTGGTACCAAACAACATGATGCAAATGACTTCTGAGCATTTCTCTAACTCTGAGCCTCCAGGTCAGAGTTGCTCTTTGCCTCTACTATGGAGGGACTAGTTTAAATTCCCCTTCTCCTCCTCATGTCCAAAGTTCACTTCTATGAATCCATTCTATATTTTAGCTATTCCCTCCATCTTTTAGGGGAGGAAAAAAAAAAAAAGGCATAAAGCACAGAAGTTTGCTGTTTTCAGTTTCAGGGCTGAGGGAAGACTTAAGAAGGATATCTTTCTGAAGATACAGAGCTCTGCTGACAAAAGAAAGCATCCTGAAGAAGCAGCTGAACAAAGGGTGCCTCAAACATACCTTTGGGTGGAACACCTGGCCTTACGACAAGACATACAAGGCACTACAACCTTCATGTATTTTAGCATGCTCTAATGACCATGTGAAAAAAATAAAATGCACAAAAGTCACATTGTCCCAATTAAGTACAATCCCTCACTAAATTCACTGGCAGAGCAATTTTTTCTAGGACTGTTTGGATGAGATCACTCCAAAACTGAGGCATGTGCAGTGGTGTGTGTCACAGACCTTGATTAATGACATAATTTAAAACAATGTCGGGATTTTCCTGCACTCTTCCTAGTCCAGAGAGCAAACAGTAAGCTGCATTACTCAATAAGAAGCAAACCAAGTACCTTCCCATTTCAGCTGACATCAGAAGCAGGAATCAAATTATGATTTTCACCTCCCTTTTCCAAAACACTTAGTTCCCTATTCTCCGGAAAAGCCAGAAATCATGCAAGAGGGAGATAAAGAAATGGCAACAGCAGTTTCTGGGCCCACAGACACTCTCAGTATGAGGATTTCCTTGGTGCGGGGTGGTAGGTGTGTAAAAGTCTGCACAGGAGAGAAAAAGAAGCGGGAGTTTACCTGACAGGCTGAGCGCCATAATCCTCCCACTGGTGCTTATGCATCTGTAGGTCTGTAAGCAGGGATGTGTGCGTGTGTGTGTGTCCAAAAGCAAACCAAAATAAAGCACCTTCTTCCTCAAAACATACGCCATGTGTAACTGCCATCCTATACATCCTGTACGCTGCAAAGTAAGGTCTTGTTCTAGACTGGAAGGTGTAAAGTTAAGCATATTTGCCAAAGCATTCTGGCTAACACATTCAAAAACTCAAGTGTAAATAAAGCAGGGTATGTTTTAATAGGTGCTAAACAAGCAAATTAAAGCCTAACCTCACCTCAGACTCTCACTTGACCAGTTTAGCACACTTTAAAAGGCAGGGCGCCTCTTAGCCTTTCAAGTTTTAGAGGGTGCTGATCAGAACGAGTTAGCTAGCTCTAATAACAAACCTTTCATCCAAACAGAGACGCAGCGGCCTAAGAGCTAATGACCCACCGATGGATTCCAAGAGCACGGGGAGGGGGGGACACAGCCTCCCTGTGAGGCTCGATCCCGCTCAGGAAAGGCAGAAAGCTCATATGCTGTGGGTGTGCAGAGAGCAGGATATTCCCACCCTGTTAACAGCCAAGGCTACACTTCCCTGAAGCACCACTTTTTGAATCAGGGGGCACACATAACCCTGACAACTACTGAGCGGCTGAAAAATGCAGCATAATGGATTTTGCTTGCTGGATGCATAAATTATCATCTCCAGTATGCACTTGAATGCAACATGGCTAAATCAAACAAAAAAAAAAATCAGGAGGTAAATCTGCATTAAACAAAAGGAGAAAAGGAGACAGCAAAGGGAGTTAGTGATGATTCAGACTAAAGGAGGTATTTTTCTGGGGATTCAAAAAGTTATTTTTTTTTTTCCAGTCCCTTGTAGGTTTTTACTTTTGCTGCACTTCTGAACCTCCATTTTTAGGCACTAAAGTACCAAAAGAAAAGCTCTTCTCTCACTGCTTCTGTCCAACAGTTTGTCATCACACTTGTTTATAGTCATAAGTTCTTACAAACCTAAAAGAAAATGTTTTCTTACAAGATACAGATGTGGGTTTTTTTGTTCTCTAAGGCTGGGTTTGTTCCTGCGTGCTGGGACATAACCTGCCTTTATTATTTCAGGGCAGCTCCTAAATACCAGAGCAAAATGCACTTGCTCAAAGGGGGACAACTAGCTGCCCAGTGATGCTTCTATCTCTTTGCTCCAAAGAGGAGAGGAACTTGAGTTTGGGTAGGTCTGCTTCAGTTCTTGTTGCTGTTAAAACCGTTGGGTTGGAATAGAGGCACAGATCAGCTCCATCACTCTGCGTTTTCTACTAGAAGAGACACAGTTCTCCAGTAAAATAAAATACAGAGACAAACACATGCATTTTTCTTCTTTTGATTCTTCTAGATCAGAGAATTCAAGCAGAGGAACCTATTGGTGAGCTGTCAGAGCCCCTGTGTGCCCTGCCATCATAAATGAATTCCAGACAGTTCATCCTGTGTGAATTTAGGTCTCTATTTTCTTCAGAGGCCTGATGAACAGCAGTGGCAAGGAAAATAGGATTTGATGTCCAAATTCAGCTAGAAAGACTAGTATTTTGAAGGCTTGGGTATCATACCGCTTATGAGAGGGATTTCATGGAGCCGAGGGCCTCTCTACTGCAACCTTTCCATCAAGAAGAAATTGGCTTGTTGATCAGGTGTTGGCATGCAGCCCATTTGGCAGCTAACAAATTGAGTCGCTGGAAATTAGTTGAGACATAGGACTTAACTCAAAATTTGGCTTGGCTTAACTATTTAAAAAAAAAAAAAAAAAGCCCCACAACCATCGCCAGCGATTTAGAAGAGAACACTTTATAGGGCAGCTCATAGATGCTTGTACTGAAGCTTGTTAGGGTTATTATAAACAGACGAAGCAACAGGCTGTTGTCAAGGGGATCCAGCAGAAGCAATATAGGTCTGAGAAGGAAAGCCTCGCAAGGCTTTGAGCAAAAGACATTTCTCTTTCTTCTTCTCTACTGCCTTGCTCTCCAACAAGGAGGCCGGGCTGTCCTATTCAAAATGACAGAGCAGACCAACTCATGGTGGCCACCAAAGTGCTTCAGATGGACATAGCAGAGAGGCCTTGCTGCTGTGCCTGTGCTCAATGAAAGCTATCACTTTGACAAAGTAAGCATCAAACCAGCTCCACATGAATGCCATGCAGTTGCTACACCAAGATTTAACAGCACAAGACTTTGGTTTAAAATCCTTGTGAGAGCTGGGCGTTGGGCAGTTGTCTTGGCTTCCACTTTAACATGAAGTCCAGATGCATTTCACCTTGTTCTCTGCTTTAGGACAGTGACAGACAGGATCAAACAGTCACTTATCCCCTTGGGCGAGGTCTCAATACAGGCCACTGTTTCTCCACTTCCATGTTAAAAGCACGCACCCTACCCACATGCTGAAGTTACTAAAGCTTGAGGAATCTTTATGCCTCAGGGGAGAATCAGAATCTGGCTTTGTGCTGTCTCACAGACTGTCACAACAGGAGGTAAAAACCTGAGGTTTAAGCTGATGTGTTCTACCTGACACCTGCCGTGAGGTGAGCAGCTGCACACAGACAACCTTTTCAACATCATGAAGAGAAGAAGCACAATCAGCACTGAGCTCTACAAGAAGTGCCAGAAATACCTTCACTTCAAGTCAAAGTAACCGCAATACAAATTCTTTGGGCTATTTTTCGGGGGTTGATTTTATTATTATTTAATTAATTCATTCGGTTTGGTTAGGTGTGTCATCGTCATCTCTTGTGTCATGTCCCCCCCCCCCCCAAAAAAAAACCCTCCAAAAATCAAACCTGTTTACTTAGGCATTGCAGAAGCTCTTTGAAACTATGACTTCAGTATAACGTGGATGCAAATGCATTTGGCCTGTTTTGGGCCCAATACAAAGACATTCAGAAACTTTTTGAGTGAGTATTTCCTGAGACCGTACTGACTATAGTTATTGCTTCTACACAACCCTCTTCTAAGTGTTAAATGGAAAAAGTTTCTATGCTAGTTAGTTTGCTATTGTTCAGAGCTTTGCCCCCAGTAAAACAAAGATGACCTTACTTTCAAAGACACAGTACACAATAAAGTCTCTTAACATTTCTCTACATCACAGCTACACATAGAACAGGAAGGATGCCAAACCAGGCGATGTCAGATGGATTAGGTGCTTTGTACCAAACTCTTCACGTTACTAAAGATAAGGGGAAGCTTTGCCCAACGTGAATCAAATTACATGGGATGTTCGTGGGCTATGAAGTCTAAAATCCATTCTTCATAGCCATTACGTGTGTTTGCACGTATCTGCCACAGGTTTTTCACAGCAGGCTTTGTCTTCTGTATTCCTGAAGCTACATGTGTGCCCTCCCAACTAGCCAGGCTCAGATCAGGGACCGTAGGGCTCTGTGGGTTGCCTGAAATATCAGAGAGGCTTGTGCGAGATGAGACAATGAGGTTTCTGTCCTTGCCACTCGTGTCACATCTGACCACGGGGAGGCAGTGAATTGTGATGAAAGACGAACAACATTACCTCATGGGCTGAGTCCGCAGAGCTGTCTTCAAGTCTTCAACGATTTTATTTTTCATTTCTGTTTCCTCTTCGTCGAAAGCATACAGAGTCTGCATCTGTTCAGAAAAGAAGATGACAATCAGGAAAGCTCGGGCTGCCTGGAAGCTAAGAAACAGGCTGGGAATTACGAATAACAACTATCCCATCAACCCATGCAGAGGTGCCTGCCGACCTCTCACCAGGGAAGCAGTGCCTCAGCTACAAAACTGAATCCAGATGAGGCTGCTCATGTGGACTGGCAACAGCACACCACTTGGCCACACTGGCTAAACTAGGGCTCTCAGATTACCCCCCAAAAATCCTATTTGCTGGTATGCCCTCAGAAAACTGCACCTAATTCGGAACAGTGATCTGCTGTGGTGATCTATGGATACACGAGGCAAAGTTTGTAGGGAGAGATAATATCTTTTATTAGACTGACATGGCTGGAGGGATTTGTGGGCAAGAAAAGAAGAAAAAAAACCCCAGATTTGTGTGTCAGGTTTCAAAGCATAAAAGCTTTTTCATCAAGTGACTAAACAGCCTCCAAGTACCCTGAATTACAGTTTGTGTACATACAAGTTTGACTTTTCTTCCCCACACCAAGTATATCACCTGTTTTAAGGTACTGATTTTTCCCTATACACTTTGCCCTTGTTAATTAGGAACATTTACTGCAAAAAGCTGGAGCATCATAAAATTCCTGTCCCTGTCTTTTAACAAGTAAACTGAAGCACATGGAGACTGGATTTTCCCCCAGTGTGCAGCTTGAGATAACTAGAACTTGCAGTCAACTGGAACTGAAGATGCTGTGGGTCACTGTAAATTATGGTGAGAGATGATGAGTGGAATACATGCAAAAACCGAGGTTCTCAAAGTCAGACAATGCCATTAAAAAAAAAGTGGTACGTCAGGAAAACAGGGTTCCAGATCCACACTCAGCACCATTGCAACCTTGTGATGAGAAGCAAGACTCTTCAGTGCCCATCACACAGACCGTTCAGGGTCACAACTTCAACGTGTGACCTTTTAACAAGTCAAGCCTCAATGCTGGAAATTCTTAGCCTATAGCTATGCCTTCTTAGTTGCTTTAATTGTAAAATGGAGAGGGTAAATGATTCTCTTATTGGCAGGACTTCTCAGGGATATCACTCAGTGGTATCTGGACAGCAGCTCTGAACCCCTTCTCAAATGAATAACCCAATTAAACTAGTATCATCTCTCAGGGATGTGATATACCTCTCTCTGGTGGAATCTGAGTAGCTACAACTATGGACCATTACAGCAAAATATTTAAATCTTTATTTTACTGTTTAGCAAGCACCAAAGAAAACCTTCCTCTCACTGGAACTTCCTTTAACCTCCCCCCGCCTCCAGCCCAACACCTCACTTCCCTTGGAAGTGCTCCCACGTTGCTTGCTTTTGCAAACCGTGTGGTGCCAACACATGTCAGATCCTGAGGGTGGTCACTTGGCCACATGCCCTTGCTGTCTTATGCTGAACAGCTGGCACAGGGAGATGTGTTTAACTCTAGGGGTCCTCTCTCTGATCCACGCTAAAGTCAAATTCACTCAGTAACAGAGCAAGCTATTTCCTGCCCTAATGGAATGACAGAGCGCTACTGATGGAAAATGAGCTGATGATGTTTTATCTTTTGCCAGCATCCCCCGACAGCCAGAAACATAAATTGAAATGCTTAAGCCAAGCCGTATATGATCCCCCTCTTTGAAAAATAAACACAAATCCTGAGCAGGCATTATGGAATCTCAACGGCAAAGTCCTGGGGTGTGATTTGGGGCTTGGTTTGTATTTTCTTGGGTGACAGCCCATCTGGTCATCTTTCCTTTGGCCCATGAATGCTCGGTTGAAAGCCTCCCCATCTCTCCAACGGCTTAATTTTTCCTCTGGGCCGTTGTGGGGGGAAAGCAAATGGATGGTAGGAAGGTGCTCAACAGTATTTCGTTCAGAGTGAAAAAGGCCCATTTCCAAATGAAACAAATACAAATAATCCTGCCTTTACAACGGAGGGTGATTATAGAAAACCCCTTTTCTAAAGCTGCAGGCAGCCAAGAGCCCTTCATTTCTCACTCCTGTGCATGGCCAGGAATCCAAATCCTCATGCCCTCTCTAAAGACAGCCTGGTCACGCGTTTGCATTATGAAATAGCTTTCTCGGCAAGACTTATAGAAAACATAACTGTCCCTGGGAGACAGAGAGGAGGGAACTGTCATTATTTGAGGCTGGATTTCATTACTGTGGCTGACTGATGAATTGCTTTCCTGAACTGCAAACTGCACTCGAGGACTAACATCTGCTGTGCTGAGGATGCAACTAGTCCCTATCAGTTAACCAGACGTACAGGGAAGAGTGAGCAAAATAGTGCCAGGTCCTTACCCGGTCCCTCAAAAGTGGTGTACATAAGGCTATTTTTTTACAAGCATATTTTGCATATTTAAAGTTTTCTAAACTAAGTGCATCATCCAGGAAAGTACAGCATCTAGTTACTTGATTTGTCAATTCAAAAAAAAAAAAAAAAAAAAAAAAACACAAATTTGTGAAAACAATCATTCACATGGAATTTTACGTGTAAAACTTCAAGTAGTCCCAGAAATTACTTTTGAAAATTTGGCTCCATTTAAAATGAAATATTTCAGTTTTGTTAAAAGCACAGATTAATTCCCACACCTTATCCTAATGGCTAATCATTCCCCTAAACTGATGAGAAGGAAAATACTGGGCCATAATGACAGTATGGGTGAGAAAGAGAGAAGAAAAAAAAAAAAAAAAAGAAAAAAAAAGGGCATGAACTAGCATCAGCAATGCACTGTATGATGCACCTAGTCTTACTTAACAGTCTTACACAAATTAAATGAAAAAAGAAAGCAGCAAATAGAATAAGAAGTAAAAAAGCAACTGGATATTCTGATTTCTTATTATAGTCCAAGCTCTTTCTTTAGATCTTGTCTAAAATCATAACTAACGGAGATATTATTGAAATCACTTCCAGTTCATAAACAAATACAAGTAAAATTAAAATAAAGATCTGACAAAAATATATTGTATTTCATGCCTCCTATCACATACCTAGGCAATACTACTTTCTTCAAAGAAATCAAGTCAGTTGAAATTCAAGGTGCACCACATCTTTAACTACATTAAGGCTGAACTAAGAGAATAAACTATGAATCACAAACCATAAATGGATGTAACTTAAAGAACCTGAACTTTTAGGCAAATCAGTTTTCAGTAACATAGATGTCACCATCAACCCAGATGGAGGAGAGAGCTACCATCCACCTGCTAAATTCTGCTGAAAGATACATATTTTTAACATCCTGTGAAGCTGCTCTGCCCTGAACAAACGCTTTCAGAGTCAAGGAAGAGGGCTCAGTTACAGCTGTATTTATTAATCTTGACCCCTGTCTCATACTCTCGCCCGAGCCATCTCTCCAGAAAAGCTGGATCCGCAACTGCTGTTCACCTGAAAGTCTCTCTGTGGAAATGCACACACAGCCAAGCTCATAAAAGCAACACGGTGCTGTCAGAAATTCTCCTCCCCAGTAAAACGAGGGCTGTGTTTATTTGTGCTGCCAAGCAGACAGTATCATGGGGTGAGGAGGGCAGGGGGAGCACAGGGAGGTTTCTTTGCATGAGATATTAACAGGGCAGCTGCTCCGTTTTTAAGAAGAGAAGTTTTGTGTGTTGGTGAATCAGCAGAAGATGACAATGGTCTTGATAATGGAAATGGTCTCTAACTGTGGACAATCACTGTCCACAATCACCAGGATTATTTATAGCATGTAGACATCAGAGGACCGGGCAAATTTAGAGGCTTCTCTTTCTGAATTAGACATTATTAGCAGCTGTCCTCTTTCTCTTAAGGAACAGTCTAGAAAACAGTCTACCAGTGATCTACTTGGCCCCCTCCTTTCAGTCAGGCTACCTGAAGGATGGGAGGGTCCCTCCACAGGAATTGCACACTACAGACAAGTAAAGAGATCCAGTTTTATGACAGTTTTACGCCCTTGTGAGAACTGGGTTTAAATACTATTAAACTCTAAGAAGTCACAGCAACAGAAACAATGGTGGGAACAGAGCTGTGCCTAAACCACGTGGCTTCTTGAACTGGATCAGGAATCTGTGACCTAAAGTGCTTCCTAACGCAGTGGTCTAAGGTTACAAGTAGGGAATGTCAAACATGTCAGGAATCACCACACTGCTCTCAAGCGTAATCTATGAGGGGCAGATATGATGAGTAACATTGCAGCAGGTCTTCTGAGAAAACGATCCTGGAGCACAGGGGCCTTGGCCTGCTGAAATCCTCAGAAAGATGCTTAATGATATCAGCAGGATAAAGGTGCCATTTCCATTTTGTCAGCGGGCAGGAAGAACTTTTTTGCCAAGCTAATATCTGAAAGAGAACTTCATAACTAAACAAAACATACAGAAAAAGATGGGAGTGCCTCACGTAAAAAGATTCTTATGCAGTTAATTCACAGGCGATGCAAAGATTAAAAAACCTCCAGGACTTAAGGTATTTTAAACTAACACTTCTGTGATTATTGCTACCTTTTCAACTCTAATAGTTCTTGCAGTATTTCTAATTAAAATATTGCAATACCTGATAGTGCCCAAGAGACACAAACTAAAATAGACTAGACAGTGTCAGGAAGCAACATGAAACATGTTTTTCTTTCACTACTTCTGAGCCAACTCCACTTGGATGCAGTTTAAAAAAAAAAAAAGTTTTAAAACCCCACCACTAAATTTAGGACTGAAATTATAAGGGACCCAAAATAACCATTTGGAAGTTAAGAATCTCAGCGGTCTAAATAATAATGAATAGAACATGTCTTTAAAAGTGTGTTGGAGCTGGTTCTCAGCTGTATTACTCCAGTTTTCCACTGATACAATTCCTGTGAAATCAAGTCAACTCAGTTTCACCTGCCTGAAAGTGAAGCAACTAAGTGGTAAATCAGAAGGATGGGTTTTAACCCCAGTGTGTCTTCTCAACACTTCAACCCTAAGAGTAAATCATGAGGCTTGAAGCCAAATAAGAGGTTATCAATCATTCAGCGCTGAGGCATGCAAACAACGTTACCGGGGCTGGTGTTTATTGGTGCTCCTAAAACATGTTTAAAATTAGAAACATAGGCCAAAACATAATCTCATTCCATGGAACTGCTCCAGATTTACAACAGTGGCGTGTACATTTTCATTCCAGGTTTACATCAAGATCATTTAAAGCCTAATCCAAAAGTCACTGCAATCAATGGAAAAACTTTCAGTAGATTCAAGAGGCCTTAGATCAAATCCTACCAGAAGTATTTGGCTTAGTGACATCGCAAGGTTTCACACTTCTTTTTCTCCTCAATGGCCCTTGTAGAGCAAATTTGTTCAGTCAGGAAGTCAAAGCACAGCACCACGCCAGTCACAAAAGCTCCATCTCTTTTCTCAAAACAAGTCCATATCCTTTCTATAACATTACTCTGCCCCAAGAAAATCTGGCATGATGGAAGGTGATCGTTTTGTCTATTCAGGACTCACAGTAGAAAGCAGTTTTTCTTTTACCTTCCTACAGTGAGTTACAATAACTTGTTAATCTTTGCTTTTCTACTGAGCGGGACATATTTCACCATGAGAAATGTATCGGTATTGACACATTTAACATCCATTAAAGCATTATTTTTATGAAATTATTTTATAGCTCATAATCACGATACAAAAGGTGCAGAGAAGCCTTTAGAAATCAAACATAAATGCATAAGTAAACAAACAAGGTGTGCTACCTAAGATGCTAGGAATGGAATTCTATGGTCACTTCAGCACAACTGCCAAAATCAGTCATTGCACATGAATAAGTGGAGGCAAAATCTGACTATAAAAATCAGTAATAAAAGGATCAAATTTCAAAATATAAGATCTACCAGATCAAAGGAGATCAGTGGACACTATATGCAGGTGTTCTGCTTTTGCTAGGGACCAGTTCTACTGGATGCTTCAGAGGAAGAGAAATATTATACAGCTATTGAACAAGGACGATTGAAAATTTTTCCTCCAGTATCAACAAAACAAGGCTTTACCTAGTTTTCAAATAGTTGCTTTTCTGTTATCCTCTCAAATTTTCATTCCAGAATCTAATTGGATTGCCTTCAGCGCTCGGTATTACAGAAATAAAACCTGCAAATGCTTATGGTGCTTTCCAATCTATCCTTCTGCCAGAGAAGGGCTCTTTCTTAATACACATACTCGTCTTCTTTCAGAAGTCCTATTATAAATCAGTCATGCATTTGGGCTAACACTGCTCTCCTTTGGGGATTTCTTCCTAAAGAAACACGTCTCCACGGTAGGAAATCTTCCCTGCTTTGCAAGAGAGGTAACTTACTGCTGCCATGGAATTGATGCGGTCAATGTAGTAATCTGGCCAGCTGGTAGCAAGCTTATTAGGATCTTCTTGTTCCTGAAACAGAAAGTTAAACAAGGTTACACAAGGAGCCTTGACAGGATGAAATGCCACTGTAGAACCACCCGGGATTCTTCACTGCGCTGCCCTTTATTGTGGTATCTCCCCCAATATTCTTGTATAATGCAGAGAGATGTGTGGCATTTATTACAAACATTTCTGAAAGTGTAATGTTAGTGCTGTCACCATGGTGTGTCAGACAAAAAGAATCCCTTTCAGCTAAGGTTATTAAACACAGAATAATAAAGTTTGATGGAGACACAGTTATCTTTGGCATCTAAGCGTCAAACCTTCATCCCTTAAACATACTATGTTTCCAAGCGGAAGGATAGCCCATTTACAGATAACAGGTTTACATTTTGTAGCTTCATATTGGCAGATCTTATAAATTATTTTGCCTCTCTATTGCTAGAGTGATGGTGGGATTCATCAACAAGGGGTTTAATAGCTGCTATGGAGGAAAAAGAAAAATCAAGCCAAGGAACGTGAAAAGAAGCCAAAAGACTGCCTCATTTTGACATGATAAACCAGAAAGAGATTTAGACTGGACGCTGGGAAGCATTTCTTTACTGAGAGGGTGGTCAAACACTGGAACAGGCTTCCCAGAGAGGTGGTCAATGCCCCAAGCCTGTCAGTGTTTAAGAGGCATTTGGATAATGCCCTTAGTAACAGGTTTTAGCTTTTGTTCAGCCCTAAAGTGGTCAGTTGGACTAGATGATCATTGTAGGTCCTTTCCAACTGAAATTGTCTATTCCATTCCATTTAAGCACAGTCTTAGAACATCTGAAGGAAGAGAACAGCATCCCCTCAATTACAGTAGAAGCAGTATTAATTCTTCTACCCTTACCTCCCGAATAATCCACCTGAAATCACCTTCACCAGACTAAGATCAACCAAACTCAACTTCTAAAAGAAGATCTACCCCTACTTAGGAATCAATTCTTCCTTTTTCACTGGCTGCTCAGTGGAAATGAGATTTCTTTCTAATGAATCTATTTATTTCTAGATAAGTGTAACAGTCACCAGCAAAATGAGGATTGGTTCCTAGGGTCCTAATCTCCCACTATAAACTACAAATATCTCATACTAAGAATCCTAGTGTATGATAAGAGGTTGAACCCCTTGACTCATCCTAAGTATGTCCAAAGATGTCTGAAGACCATGTGGATCTCACCAATGTTGTCTGTGTATGAATGCTTAGTCATACGAGAAAAGTTGCTCTGGAAGACACAGAACACTATTAAATATGTAGGTCTATCAGAGTGCCTCAGCCATTCCAGAACTCCTTGGTTTAGAGGTGAGAAATAGCTCTGCATGGTCCCTGCTCACAAGTTGCTGCCAGGCTACACACCATCACATAGCAACAATTCCGCACAGAATCTTCATATTTAGAAGTAAAAACAAAATAATGACTGAGACTTGGATCTTTCCTTCCCTCTCTTCATTCCACTGGTCTTTCATCATGTAAATGAAATCAGTATCTCCATTCGAGATACCAACAAAACTGGCCCCATCTAGCAAAGGACTGCAATATGGACACATCCTAGACAGATCATAGAATCATAGAATCATTTTGGTTGGAAAAGACCTTTAAGATCATTAAGTCCAACCATTATGCTAACACTGCCAAGCCCACCACTAAACCATGTCCTTAAGCACCACATCCGTACGTCTTTTGAACACCTCCAGGGATGGTGACTCCATTACTTCCCTGGGCAGCCTGTTCCAATGTTTGACCAATCTTTCAGTAAAGAAATTTTTCCTAATATCCAACCTAAATCTCCCCTGGTGCAGCTTGAGGCCATTTCCTCTTGCCTTGTCATTTATTACTTGGGAGAAGAGACCAACACCCACGTCACTACACCCTCCTTTCAGGTAGTTGTAAAGAGCAACGAGGTCTCTCCTCAGCCTCCTCTTCTCCAGGC